AGCCTCATGTCTTCTGGCGAGGCAACGGTGGGAAAATAATGAGAAAATGATAATTTCACGGCTTGTTACTCATATTCTGGAGAGAGTCAGATGGTTCAACACGGCTTGATTTCCTACCTTAGTGTCTTATCTCATTTTTCTTGATGTCACCCTTATCTGGGAAACCTGGTGCTCTCAAGTGTTCTATTCAAAGGCAGGAAGTGGAGTTTGAAGAAACTGTCAGTCCCTTCTCACGTCGAGGGATATGGATAGTTGCCGTCTGCATTTATTTCCTGTCGTCGTCGTCAGTTAGCTCACACGTTGGAGAAGCAGGATGGCAGTAAGAGTCCTGCTATCTCCTCTGCTTTCTCATTTCTTCCAGGTTGGTATTTCCTCCTCCAACCGCCCCTCTGCTTTCATCCGTGTTGCTGGTGCTGCTACTCATCCTGCCAGTCATAAAGTCGGCCTGGAGGCAAAATCTCGGAGAAATAAAACTTTCACCATCACCACACCACCGCTTTCACATGAACGCAACGGTGCACCGCAAAATGGATATTGCAATAATGCGAGAAATTGAAATGACAGCTGTGAATTCTACCATTTCTCCTCTTCAAGCGTATAAACTTTCTAATCTGTTATCGTCGTAAAACTAAAGTACCCACGCCTTGGAGAATCTCTTAATTGTTGCGGAATATCAAATCACAAATTCGTACGTACAGTTCACGAGCATTGGGAAACCACACACTTTTCCGACTCAGCCAACCGTGTAAAATTAATGTTGAATTATCATTGGCTAATAAAATCATTCACAACAACAAGTGGAGTAGATGAATTAATGAACAGCCAAACACGGCAACAAATAGTGTCAGAAACTTGCCACTGTCGAGAATGAAGTTATGAGTAAACAATTGCAGAATTAATTGAATAGACATCACACAATCCATTATAGCAGGGAATACTTATGGAAAACATGTGTACAACTGCAACATGGTGAAAAGCACACATGTTATTTACCACAATTGCAAAGCAATTAGAGAGGATCGATCAACTGAGCTGTCAGATTAATGGAAAGTTGTTAGTGTAATTTCAACCAGCATTAAATATATGCGTTCATAACTTCAGGTGCAAGCATATAAATAAATAAAGCTTATGCTGTCACTGCTGCCAAAATGACAATAAAACAGGTCCCATTTTCGATTCGACATAATTCTAACAAATGGAGGGAAACCTGCATAAAAATTGTCTCCTGCTTTATTAGAGGAATTTCCCCCATCGCATCCTCTCCCAGTTCAGTTCCAATCTCGGAGTAATTTAATTTATTTCCTGAGATGATTTGTTCATTACTTGCGCCCTCCCTTCACTCCGGCCCCCCAACTAAACTTATTTCCCATTTATGCATGTGATGTGACCTCAGAAATATAGGGACTACATGTGCATGTGCTAAGGTACATATGCATATAAACCAGATATATGCAAGTTTCATTATTTGAGGCGAATGTTTGTTTGCTGGTTAGAAAACGGTCGGTGGGCTTTGGGTGGAATCATGAACTGGCTGTGGGACTTGGAACAACAACCCAATCATTAGGCATTATTAACGACCAAGTTTGGGAGCTTTGAAGGGAATGAATGAATGGTTTACCAGTGTCAAACAATAAATCTTTCTGTTACAGAACATTAGAATCAGAATTAGAAATGTCGAGCCGAGGTGACTTTGCTTTCAATTACTTGACTTGCTTTCCCAGGAACAAACATGGTCCCGAGAAGAGAGGGCTACCATTCTCAAGGCATATCACTGTTCCTATATGTAGGTTATGTAATATGTATAGCGCTCTTGCTATTTTTTTTTAATTCAATCAAATTTTAGAGATGTTTCTCCGATTTGATTCAAGTTAAAGAAGGGCCGCTGTATCTGGAATTTAGATTGTCTTGATAGTTGATTGTCATATATATAGAATTAGAATTCAGATGGTCATTTCGGTACAAGTTTTCACCTTTGCTGAAATTACGTACCTTTAAATTGAGACGCGTTATATTCTGTAGCTGCAGTTAAACTGGAAATCAAAAATTAGTGATCGACCACTACCTCATCCCCCAACAAAACCGCCATCTTGACCCCACAGGCTAGCCAAATAGGTTTTACTAAATCGTTCCAATTGCATTTATTCACCAATCATCGACCCATCCTCTCTCTTGATATTGACAATTGTGAGGGAAGATTGTGTAATTTGTTTCCAGTTAGTCAACTCGTCCGAGAAACTCTCGAATTACTTGAGCCGAAAAATGATTTTACCTCCGGCTTATCTGCACACAGCACCTCGATCGGAATTCGGTACCTCAGGCGCACTGTGTCCCATAGAGAATTGATAAAAGAAAGATTCTCGACATTCCCGAGTAAAAAAAGAACCGTATGCAGCAGCTTTCACTGGTTTTTCAGTTAATGGATTTTTTCGTGTAGAAGATGGCATGGCTTCCGCGTTGTAGAAGAATTCATTTGATGCTTATCAAGGGTGTGGTGTTTACAGGGTTGAGATTTGGTTCTGTTGAAAATTAAGTTAAAGAGTTCTCGGAGTCTTTTGGTCGGATGGAGTGAGATTCTTGGAGAAAGGGAGAAAAGGGAAGGATGCAATTTTTCCTGTGGATGAATGAACTCGAGTAATTTTTATTGGTCACGCACAGGATGGCAGGCACTGGAAAGTGATATATTTTAATGAGTCAGTCATCATGATAATCCATTTTGTGCAGTTGTGAATTTTAATTGAAAAAAGCAATTTGCTTGATGGAATTCTAATGGGATCGATGTTTATGATATGTTTAAGATTTGAAATATTTGAATTAGGAAACTTTTTTATACATGTCCAGACATGTCCATATGTCACAAGTGGCATTTCTGGAATTGTACTAAATTTTCATGAAACTCTTGAATCTTGATAAATTTGTAATTTGTATAGATTAGAATCGAATCTTAGTGAAACACATCTATTGCGAGCTGAGAATATCTGGAGGTTGAGCTTGATTGGGGAAACTAAATCTTAACCTTATGAGCACTTGCAGCTCTGTTGCAACAATTCTCACTCCATCGAATAAAAGGTCTTCCACTTCTCCCACAATAGACAAACCCTCAGCGTCGTATCAAGAAAGAGGGGTTGTTTCCTCGAAAGCCCAACTTTCTCATTTACCAAGGAAAGGAAAGTTTATGCCATGGTGTAAAATAATATTCCGTCCTTTCGCTGGCTATCCAATCCGAAGAAATGATGTAAGATGGAAATAATAAGGCTGAGAGGGAAGGAAGGAAGGGAAGACGGAAAGGGTGGGAAGAGCATTCAAATCGAAACTGATTTACTAAATAGAAAATGTGACTGCTAATGATGATGATGGCGAAGATGGCTTTTGTGTTTGGAAAGCAATCCCTTTGTTCAGTTGCCACTGATCCGATGCATAAATATGTAGGGAAGGAAGGAAGGAAGGAAGGAATAAAGAATGACAGAGGAGGAAATCGTGGGGGAATTTCCTTTATATATTGCAAAAGTTGTTTGTGTCGCTCATTTTAAATAATTTAAAACTTGTTGATATAACTTACATATTTGCATTTGTATCAATAGTTTCCAGACGGAATTGTAATGCAAATTTTTATGCCCACCGAACACTTCTAGCGTACTTGTGCAGTTGGAAATGTAAGCACTTATTTTTTCTTACCCTTTCCGATTTTAAGTAGTTTCTTAAACTGAAGTTTGTTTAATTGGCGAAAAGTTTGATGTTTAATTTTTGGCTTCTTTCCTCAGCCCCGTCAATCAAAACCAGTAATGCAATATGTCTGTGTTGGTGTGTGTGGCAGTGTGAGATAAGACAATAGCAAATCTTGGCATAGAAAGAAAAAACACAAACTTGTCATCATAAATCATGAAGCTTATCTAAGCCCAGAAAGTTAATGCATAGTTTGACGCAAGAATTGACTAAGAATAGTTAAAAGCTTGAATATGGAAAGATACAAGTTATAATAATGTCGAGCAGGGCTGGAATGTTTTTCCCCATTAAAATAGAATACTTTAGAGCTAAAAATTCACGAAAATTAGATTTTCCTCCTGAACATATGCATTGGAGCAATGTGCTTGCTCATCCTCGTTCATTTCATACCACAATTTCGTACGGAGGATTTTTTTCTTTGGTTGCGTAAGTTGGAAGAAGTGCACTATTTATGAAATTAGAAGGGAGAGTTGATTTTGCGAGGTCTGTCAACTTGTGAAGAGTGTGATTAATGAGCTACTTTCCCCTCCGTTCTCATACGAGCGGTTCATCATGGTGCTCAACCCAGAGCGCAGCGTTTCGTGGAGGCAACCACTTTCATTCTCCTTTTCGTCAGTGTATTCTATGAGAACTTTGTATTCCTTATTATTGGGCGGATAGATATTGTATCATTTGCGTGCATATGGAAATCAAGAAGTTCAGTGATTAATCCAGTTTACAATTGAACATGTTTTTTTTAGATTTAAATTAAATCCGTCACTTGCATGCAAATAAATAACAAATGCCTTTCACGTGAATGTTTTAGTTTAAGTAGAGGGTGTGTCTCTATTAGCTATGAGGCAATTCAGAACCGGAAACCGGATCCAGTTTATCCTAATTTTCGGTATGGAGAGATGTGAAAGCCTTTTTCCTTCCCCAGTATCGTCTGCTTGGAATGGATACCAAAGTTAATCGCACAGTATCAACAATGATGGTGGGATATTCTCGTCTTGCACATGTGAAACTGAGGACGCTGCTCATTTTCCCCCGTGCAGTACACGAACGAGAGAGAAAGGGTCATTCTCATCGCCACGATGCTTATGTTGCAGCGAGCGAGTCGTTTTTTAGGAGTTACCTCCAGCCGTGCCTGCAGGAAGGAGGGATCAAGCACTCCACTCCATCAATCGTCATTGTGGAGACTATTAAGTGCGCAATCCGTTTAAGTGGTTGTAGTTTACTTTCTTCAAGGAAATAGATTTTTCTCGGGAAATAGCTCTCATTTCCACAAATTACCTTTCACTGGCTGGTGGTGAAAGTCCTTTCACATGTTAAATCTCAGAGTGCGTATGAGCCGGAACCATATAGAGCTCAAGAAACGGAATAAAGTGTCTGGATGCTCGAAATCTGAAAAGAAAATCTGGAAAGAATGTACATTAGATTATGGGGAAGATTTTTTCAGACGGAGATTTAGGATATATCTGTACATAGCTAGGAGAGAAATACTTATGGAGTAAACAATATGCCCTTTAATTTTCTATTGATTCTTTTCACAACTATATAAATTGCTGATCGTTGAAAATATTTTTATATGAAGACTCCCGTGGACACTGCGGATGCAGCAGTTTTAGCCACTGAGGAAGATTTCTTGTTTTTCATGGAATAAGAAAATGATGGCAATTTGTGACCATCTCGTATGACAAATGGGTGAAACATGGAGAGTCGTCGGTGGACCCCTAAACACATTCATGCAATAATTATTGTACATTTGAAACCTTCCTTACTTACGCGTGTATTATATTATGTATTAGTAATTTTTGGTGACGAAATTGTCTACCATCCAAAACCGCGTGCAGCTCCTCCTCCGTGTTGCATCTGCATAACGGGAGGTCCGAATTCCGCATCGTCCCACTAATAACTCGAAATACGGAGGGTTTAACTTTCCAGAAGAAGACTTGGTACCCCATGTTGCTCATGTTGGTGAGCAAGTCTCTCATGCCCTGAATAATTAGAACGTAATCAAATCAAATGCTCATTAAGTATGCATGTTACACATTAGTTTCGATATGTTTGGCTAATTTAGATACTTCAGCTGCCGTAAAGTCTGCGTATTGGATATGGTGACAGTCGATAACGATTGGCGTGTCGGTGCTCCCCCAGTTACACGCAGCTTTTATTATTTGATTACTGATGTAATCAACAGATGGAAAAGTTAAGGATCGGTCCAACAAAATGTGAATGAAAACGGTTCCCTGAGGCGTCTGTGTATAGCAATAAGAAACCAGCCGTCAATCTCTCTAGCTTTCATGCACCATACTTAGGCTAGCACACTAGTCGTAAGTAATGATCACGTCTCTACATATAACCCTTGTCTCACCTGTCGTGTTCCGACTTTGACCCTGGGCCGTGCCGAATAAAATAGAAGGAATAGAGCGCTGATTAGTATCCCTATCGCGATCCCGTATTCCAGACCGGCGAATAGAGTCACGAGAAATGTCACAGCCCAAGGTATCATATCCATTTCTGAAATTGAGTGAGAGGGAAGGAAATTCTGATGACAAAATGATTGAGTAATGCTTACGTATCAAGTTAATTCATCAACAACTAAAAGTTTTGCACAGTTGATCAACGTTGCTCAATTTTAGTCTCAACTTAGAAAATAACTTCTGGCTAAGCTCTCTCCTCTAAATAATCCTAAGCAGAAATAAACCGTATTGATCATGGTTTCTGAGGTTGACGTAAAAGATAAAAGTTTGTGGGCAGAGATTTTGGATATTCTCTCCTATTTCACTTTCATCACAATGTAATAAACTTGTTGCTTACTTTTTGTCCGCCACAACGGGAGGATAATGTACGGATTCACCATGAAGAGACAGGATATGCATATCACCGCCGCAATGCTGGCTTTCGGTATGTAAAAGAAATACGGAGTTAAATACTCGAGCGCCAATATGACTATGATACCAGTGATCATGCCAGCAAATGGCGTCTACAAAATAAATAAATAAGCATAAATTGGGCATATATGTATGTATGTAAATATACGCTTTCACTTTAATTTTGTGTCAACTGGCATACCTTAACGCCACTCTGAACGTTGACAATCGTCCTACTGAAACTGCCCCCAATGGGCATGGAGCTGAAGAAGCAGGCAATCGCATTAGAAATTCCCACGACCAGAATCTCCTGTGCAGCGTCAACACGGCTGGTTCCTGCAAAAACTTTGGCAATCGTACAGTGAGAAATGATCCCCAGAAGAGGCACCACAAAGAGGGCCGACGCTTCCTCCTTCATAATATCGCTAAACGAATGGGTTCTGTTGTCCTTGGGGCTAAAAATTTCGAACGGCGGAGGCTTAAACGAAGGTAATCCGGGTGATATGTGACCTGGACATGAACAGAATTTAAAAGAATTGTCAACACCAAAAAGGCTCGCCTGACAAGAGAATATTCCTGACTTGCTTACCCACAATTGAGAAGGGCTGATCAGGATACCAACACGCCACGAGGATCATGCTCCCCAACATTACGATAGCGCTTTTTGTGACGGAAAACAGCCACAGAATCTTCTCAACTCTGGGAAAATTTTTAGTCATGCATCGAAACATCTTTTCCATGTACTATTTAAATTATTACAAAAGTTCTCAGAATGATATAATGACGTAAAATTGGATCAATATTCTCAATTTCTTGCCATCATAATAAGAAGAATTGCACAGCACGCCAAACCCAATAGTGCGTCCTGTAAGTGGCACATACACATATTTACAAGTATGCAGTATGAAATTGTACTAAATTCGAATTCTACATGGTGTTTAATGTCATCAATATGTTGAGATAGTCCTTGAAGGGTTTCCACAAATTCGTCTGCAGGGAATGATAAGCCAAGTAATGGTTTCAATTGTGTTGCAATAATTGTTAATGCAACGGCTGATGTGAACGCCGAGAGCACGGGGGCGGAAATGAAATTTGCCACAAAACCTATTTACATACATACACGGATAGATTTTCAGTTGAAATGGTAGTTGAAGTAATTTAAGGAGAGTAGTAAGTATATTTGAGCGTCTGTTATTTGCACCCACCCAGCCTAAATATGCCCATCACTAAAGTGAATACGGCAGTGACGAAACAAAGAAAAACAGCATATTCTGGAGGTTTCCCTGCCGTGTACTTATAAGTGACGATTGACTGGATTGCAGCAGGGCCGACATTGATTGCAGTAGTACTTCCAAATATTATGTAAACAAATGGGCCCACGAATGAAGAATAAAGTCCGTAAATTGGAGGCAACCCTTGAAAGAATGTATAGACATTAAGATCACAACTCAAAATTCCGATAGGACTCTGATAATTTGTCTTACCAGCCACTGTTGCGTAGGTCAAGGCCTGCGGCAGAAGGGTTAAGGCTACAGTGAAACCAGCAATACTGTCCGAAATCAGCTTTTGGACATTGTACTGCGGACCCCATTTAAGTATCGGAAACGTTCTCTCCAAGTTTTTTCGCCTTTTATTGAATGCAAAATTATTATTACATCGGTTAGTAAAATAATTTACTCAATTTAATAAAAAATACCTAAAATGTCGTCTCAAAAAGAGTTCCAGCCTCTCTTTCTTGGACCATGTCACTCGGTCGTCCCCTTTAACAGAGTTCTTTCGGCTTGGTGCAACTTTTCCAGGGCTATTTGGATGATACTTTATTGTATTATTGCTTCCACTTGGACTTCGAGGTGGGCTTATCCTGATGGTTGGAATTGGCACAGGTAGCGAGAGACCTCCGGGATCCTCAACTTCCTCCACGGTGTCGAACGTATCTTCCGAAGACAAGGAAAAAGATCGCATTTTCTGATTTCGAGGAGGGACAAATTGTTACATTTGTCCCAGACTATGAAAGATAAACCTTTCAATCGGTGACTTGTGTCAGTCTAGTATGTTTTTTCTCATGATTTTAGTCAACATTCACCAAATGTCATCCATTTTCGGATGAACCAACATTTACTGACTAGGGAACCTTAGTCACTGTCCCATCTCGATTTCCTTTCGGATAGACTTATTTGATAGATAATTTAGTGTAACTTAAACTTTGTCATAGAACATACGGTGCAAAATCACGTTGTCGCGAAATATTTGGCGAGAGCTGCTCCAAAACGTGTCATTTTTCCAATGCTTTTAACATACATAGATAACAGCCTTCAGAATGATGAAATGAAGTCTGTTATTTCATGCTGATCATCAATATGTAAAAAAAACGATGTAAACATTTGCCATTTTTTCAAATTGTGAAATTCTGAAAAATTTTCTAAATTTGAATTTCGTCATTTTTTGAAATTTAAACAAAATTAATATGTTAAACCTCTTTCAAGCATTACACAAAAAAGTTTTCAAAACCCAATTTTTCCTTACTTCAACACAATGGGCCAAAATTTTCAAAAATTGAAACTCACAATTTTTCATGAAAAAAGATAACATGACCAATGCTAATCTATTTAACGTGTTCTTCAAACTTGTTGGCTAAATTTATATTTGCAAGTTGTACAAAATTCTGGAAATTTGTATCCTCAGTTTTTGACATACTCAATAAAATAACTTTTCCATACCTCGTTCGAGATTTTAAGCTTTTTGGAAAACTGGAAAAATGTTCATCTGGGAGGGACCCCATAGGGTCCCTCCAGGACTGTGGCATATATATAGGACGGCATCAATATAGGGCGCCCTATATTGATGCCGTCCTATATATATGCCACAGTCCTGGAGGGACCCTATGGGGTCCCTCCCAGATGAACATTTTTCCAGTTTTCCAAAAAGCTTAAAATCTCGAACGAGGTATGGAAAAGTTATTTTATTGAGTATGTCAAAAACTGAGGATACAAATTTCCAGAATTTTGTACAACTTGCAAATATAAATTTAGCCAACAAGTTTGAAGAACACGTTAAATAGATTAGCATTGGTCATGTTATCTTTTTTCATGAAAAATTGTGAGTTTCAATTTTTGAAAATTTTGGCCCATTGTGTTGAAGTAAGGAAAAATTGGGTTTTGAAAACTTTTTTGTGTAATGCTTGAAAGAGGTTTAACATATTAATTTTGTTTAAATTTCAAAAAATGACGAAATTCAAATTTAGAAAATTTTTCAGAATTTCACAATTTGAAAAAATGGCAAATGTTTACATCGTTTTTTTTACATATTGATGATCAGCATGAAATAACAGACTTCATTTCATCATTCTGAAGGCTGTTATCTATGTATGTTAAAAGCATTGGAAAAATGACACGTTTTGGAGCAGCTCTCGCCAAATATTTCGCGACAACGTGATTTTGCACCGTATGTTCTATGACAAAGTTTAAGTTACACTAAATTATCTATCAAATAAGTCTATCCGAAAGGAAATCGAGATGGGACAGTACTTAAGGTTCCCTTGTAAGTCGAGTTGTGGCAAGATTGCAAAATCTCCGATTTCTTATTCCAAGTGGATCAGTTAATCGGTTGTTTATGTGTCTATAGCGCAAGCATCTACATATACTTGTTGCGACATTCCTATTACCGCAATATTATTATGGTCGAGTAATGTCGTTTGATTTACCAGTAATTGAGAACAAATCGTTGTGTAAATTGCAGATTGTGTGTAAGTCATGACATTAAGATGCTCGAAGTGGTTGGAACAGTTATCCACTACATAGTTCTCAAAATTAATTAATTCATGTTTGTCCAATTTCTCATATTAGTAAAAAATTCTTTTTGGAATGCATGGTTAATTATCTTAGTATTTAGCATTGTTGTGACGCTGAACGAATGGATAATCTTTTTTGTGCATCGAGACACAATTCACTAATATGAATAAGATAAGTATGTAGATGGATTGCATTCATAAGCTATTGTCTTGGTTTGGTAGGCACATCACCCATGTACATAGGTAAATATGTAGGAGTATATTACGTTAGTACATTATGATGACTGCATGACTTTATGCTTTTTCACCCCTTCTACTTATTACTTTAAATGAAAATGATTCGCCGCAGTATATTTAGTACCTTTTCTGGTCGCAACATGCTTGTTTCCATTTTTCTATGAATTTATAAAATTCAAACTTTCTGTGTTGTAAACATTGTGATTTTTATCATTTTAAGCTTACACATCATAATTCAAGAATGTAATTTTCCAGTGCGGTGACAAGTTAATACATTCAATTCTAGCAGCAATATCTCGACGGAAAGGGAGGATAACTAATTTTCTCATGTTGTCCTTTGCACCAACAAAATCGAATATTGCGCAATGGCACAATACGTAAGTGTCTCCTTCAATTAGTAGAAATCTAATCGAGGTAACTTTTGTGCAGTGCTGATAATGGTTTATACGGATTTAAGTGCTCAACAAACCAGTTTTCAATGCAATTTGTGCATCTTGAGTGAAACTTTTCATATTGCTGCTGCAAAAATGCACTTGACTCTCCTAGCACATACAAACGCTTGAGCAACATTGCAAAAACAATTTCTTTTTATCACAGCCACAAGTAAATACATGCATGCGTACATATTTATCAGTCCATGTATCAGCACATAAAGCCAATCAAATATTAATTTGTGCTGTTTCAAAGAAGCCATTATAGGCATAGAACAATTGTAATCGACATCATGCAATTGCATCGCATAAGTTTTTGCATTCATCTTCTCTACAACAAGTCATAAGTACATACGTCTAAATCTATGTATGTGCATTAATCCAAGTATTGTTACTCTACACATATCCGTATACGTAGCTGAGCTGATTGAGACGAAGATGCTTGTAGAATTGAGATGAGAAATTCGAAATCTGAAATATTTATCATAGCCGTTCTCACTCGCACATGAACCTTTCGTAACAATACAATTACTCACATTTCATTCTACTGACTTTTGTTTTTTAGCTTTAATTTTCACCAATATTAAGCAATCGCTGAAGTTGTCGCCAAACGCCTAATCCTGAAGACGGACACGGGACAATGGCCGACTATGGACAGGTATACATACTTACATACTTGAGAATTTTGCATTATTTTCAACATAATTACACATTTACGTGCACCTACAGATTGTCAAAGGGCTTCGACTCACATATGAAACAGGGCGAACAAAAGACATTCACTTCCGCCTTGGTCAACTGCGAAATTTAGCCAGAATGTATCAAGAAAATGGACCCGATCTGATCAGCGCATTAAAGAAGGACCTTAGAAAACCAGACTTTGAGAGTCACATGTATGAAATACTCCTGCTCTCCAGAGATGTAAAGAACACCATCAGTAATCTTCAAAGCTGGGCAAAGCCTAAACACTTGCCCAGGAACTTGATAAGTTTAAGTGACAAAATTTACTATGATCATCAACCCCATGGAGTGGTACGCACATAATATTTAAGATAACTCAAGGTGGGTGGCTGGTGGTGATTCTGTCAAGATTTATACCCCTGCTTTAGGTTTTGATAATTGGTCCTTGGAATTATCCCCTACATTTGACGCTCATGCCCTTGGCAGCCGCGTTAGCAGCAGGCAATTGTATTCTCGTGAAACCAAGCGAAATCAGCAGCGCTTGCTCTGCCTTGCTTGGTGCACTGATTCCGAAATATCTTGATCAAGAGTGTTACAAAGTTGTACAAGGTATGACTGTCATTACGAACTTTTATATGCAACTACCAGTGTAGCAGAAAGTACGAATATTATCACACACACTGCAAGCAGTTTGATCATTATCTGCATGCATGGTTGAAGGAACGTTGCAATTTCATATTGCGAATATGTATGTACGAAGCGTGATTTTGATTAATGAGAGCTTGTGCATATCTGTAAATTGCTTTCCCAGCAAATCTCTCTCTCTCCTCTCGCTCTCTCAACGTATCAATTTTATTTTTGAGTGCCTGTCACTTTTTTTTGTTTTTATGCAGGAGATGTTCTTGAGACGCAAAAAATTATGCAAGAAAAATTTGATTTTATCTTCTTCACTGGATCGTCGCAAGTTGGAAGAATAATTTATATGCAAGCTGCATCAATGGGAATACCTGTGTGTTTGGAATTGGGAGGGAAGTCGTAAGTGTGGTGCTCAGCATGTTTTGCATGTGCATATTATCATTGCGAATCTGAAATTCACAGCAGCACTAATTTCTGCTTTTTTGAAAATCACGCACAGCCCAGTTTACATTGACAGCACGGCCAACATACGAATGGCTGTGGAGAGGATTATCTGGGCGAAATGTGTATGTTTCGGACAGACTTGTGTAGCCCCAGATTACGTTTTGTGTGCCAAGGATGTTGAGCAGCAATTTATAAATGAAGCGAAAGCAGTGATTAAAGAGTTCTTTGGAGAAAACGTTCAAAATAGTAAGGATTTGGGCCGTGTCATCAATGCGAGACATTTTTCTAGACTTCGACAACTCCTGGATACAACAAGAGGTCAAATTGTTGTTGGGGGCAAAGTGGACGAGTTCGATTTGTTCATTGAACCAACCATAATTGGTAACGTTGAATTTGGAGAAATTCTTGTAAAGCCAATTTTATTTTACCATTTATGCACGCGTAAATTGCAGTTGAAGTAGATGAGCATGAACCGTTGATGACAGAAGAAATTTTTGGACCATTGTTACCAATTTATCGCACAAAGAATTATAAAGATGCGATAGATTTCATAAATGAGAGGTGAAACATGATCTACACGCTTTTAATTTGAATTAATTAATTATAGCTCTAATTATTGCAACATGCTCGTATTTAGACCCAATCCATTGGCTCTGTATGTTTTTTCAACCGATGCCAAAGTGATCAAGTCCTTTCTCCAAAAGACAAACAGTGGAGGCGTCAGCATCAATGATGCTCTTTATCACACAAGCAGTATGAATACACAATATTCAGACTGATCATCTATTTTTATCAATTTAATGCCGGTAAGATTGCCTAACTTTTGTGTATGTTTAACAGTCGCCGAAGTGCCCTTTGGAGGAACCAATGATTCTGGTCTTGGTCAATATCATGGCAAATTCAGCTTTGACACTTTCACGCGTCCCCGAGCCATTGTCCATCGCAGTTTCTCCCCCTTGGAAAACAAGCTCAATTACCAGTTCCGCTACCCACCGTACAATGACTTAAAGTACAAAATGCTAAACATCGGCCTCGGACATTATGACAAGTTTTACTTGAGAATGGGGTTTGTTCCATATTTGCTTTGTTTCGTGTTAGGACTTTTGTTTATGTATACTCTCCAGATTTTTGAAGCCCAGTCCAATACTCCAGAAGCCAAAAGTTAGCCTGTTAAGCTTTAATACTGTGAGTATATGATCCTGTCCAGTGCATGACCAAAGTTGTTGAGAAATAAATTACATGCTTACAACAAGTGTCATTTATATGAGTGATTATTGCATACATACCTGGATATTTTTATGCTCAATTGATGCATCCAGTTTGGGGACAAATGTACTGAATTTGTTTCAAAGAGTACACTGATAAAGATCATGAAACTATGCAATTTTCTATGTGGTACATAACTATGATTGATCACTGTACATCTGTCTGTACGGTATTCTCCAGAATTGACAGCGTTTTGTTGAATAACTGAGGATTGATGGATACACAAGTACCGTGTGCACTCTGGTCAATGTCAATTGGCTTAGATTTTATAATTACAAGTGATGATATTTTCAGTAAAGTGACTCAACCACAGTTACAACATCTATTTTGTGACTGATTTTGAACGATTGTAATTGACAGCTAAAAGTGGGGATTATACATTATCGCGAATCATATATAAAACCCAACCTAAAAATGATTGACGATTCAATGGAACAAGGGCCCATTAATTATAGCAATCATGCGGTAAGCAACACCCCTGTTCTTATCACTTGTTTTGAGCCACATATAAAGTCTGCTGACACTGGCGTCCAACTTAGTCTTTCCAATTTGAATTGCTTTGCGAACAAGGAAACAATACGATGTCCTTAAACAAGGTGCTACTCGTTTTGGCTCTGACGGTGACCTCGGTCCTAGGACAGTGTTCCAGGCAAGCAGAGTTGTTATATTTAAATACTTTGGTATTTAAGATCAGTATTTAAATACCGGATTTGAGTATTTATTATTTATTATTTAAAATCTAAATACTGAATTTCAAGTATTTAGTATTTATTTTTTAAATACCTGAGTGCATAAAATGTATTTAACTAGTTAGTATTTAAATACTTTAAATATTGCAAGTATTTAAATATTAATTTTCTTCTACATGATGCAAAACTCGGATTTCTGACGTTATTAATTAACGAATTCATAGCATTCATTTTGTGTTCTGATGTATATATTAATTTTATAGGAGCAAAATCAAGTAGTTTATTGCAACTTGTGTCTCAAAACATTTGAAAATTAATCAAATATGGGTGAAAATTTTAGTTAAATTGAAAATTTAATGAAATAATTTGTATTTAGCTTTTATATGCTTATTCACATTTGTTACTCATTTTCAGCTCGTAACATAAATTATTAATTCCACATATTAGTCTAATTTTCACAAATATTACCAAACATCTCTAGTAGTTAAACAAGCCTTAAAGCTTATCTTTTAAGCAAATGATTTATTTTAAGGCTACCTCATATTATTTATTGGCGATTCTACTTGAAAGTATAGATCTAAACTATTAAGAGTTGGTAATTCAGATGTTACCACTATTTAAATACTATTTAAAGAGTATTTAAATAACTAGTACTTAAATACTTAAGATATATTCAGGTATTTAAGTAATTGCGTATTTAAATACCTAGTCAAAATACGAGTATTTAAGTATTTAGTATTTAAATATTTAAAATAAATTCAGTTATTTAAGTATTTAATACTTAAATACCACTCAAATATTCAAGTATTTAGAAATGAAATATTTAAATACTTTTGAGGTAATAAAAAAATTACTGAGGATAAAAAAAACTGACATAATTTTATTAAAAACAACTCTGCAGGCAAGAAAACTCTGATATTGGGCTTCCTGACCTTCAAGTTCACAGTGGCCGACCAGAAGGAGATTGCTGCGGAATTTGTCAATCAGTTTCAGGATGTAGAGGTTATGCATGGAATAGTTACGAGGGGGGAACTTGCTGGTTGAAAGCAGGGACGGGGCCGATCACTTTTAATCCCGGTGTTGTTGTTGGAACGATCGGTGGCGACCCCGGAGACGGTAAAGTTACCATTAACATGTGGAGACATTTGCAGAATACTCATCCATTCCATCTGCATATAATTAATTTCTATAGGACTCGTCAGCTACCAAGAATTCTCACAGGCTGTGACCAACAACGGATATCCAACACCTTCCCAGCAGCAATACAACGCCTTTGTCAGTTCTGCTGGCCCAAAAGGTCAGATTTCCAGTAAACAGGAAGCTGCAATGGCCATTACCCATTTTATGCATGAATCCGATGGTAAGTAGACTCACCGTTTTCATTGATTTTGTAACACTGATAAGAAGTTTTAAAAAGTGTTACTTACAAAAAATTATAGGTCTGCGAGCAAAGGTAAGCATACAATGTTTATTTCTCGTATTATTTTGCAATATTATAAATTAAATTGGTCATTTTTTGTAGCGTGAGTACGCCTGCATTGAGAATGGATGTCCAGACTCCTATAGAACTCCGGGATGTGATGCTAATGGTCAATGGTACTATGGTCAGTCAATAAAATTATTTAAGTATTTTTTTAGAACATACTTACTAAATTACGTAATATTAACTTAAAAAATATAGGTCGAGGTTATATTCAACTATCTTGGTGTTACAATTATCGGCCGGCTTCTATGTACCTCTTTGGGGATGAGAGACTAGTTTGGGACTCTGATATGGTGGCCAGGGAGGAAACTATCGCGTGGGACACGGTATGAATGATTTAAATTTAAAAGCTTCGTCTCCATTGAACTAAATTTGCTATGAAATATCGCAGGCTTTCTGGTTTTGGATGCAAAATGTCCACAATGCTGCTGGCGTCCAGCAAGGCATGTTCGGGGCATCCACACGGTAACATTGCCAAATCGTTTAATTTATGTTCTGCATCCAGTTACAATTTTCAATTTGATTATTTAGAGCGATAAATGGTGGTTTGGAATGCGATGGACCCAATCAGCATATTGTGAGTTATAATAAACACGTTGAATTCAAGTCTTTACTGAATGAATCAGATAAGGGGATGATTTTATGTTTATAATGGTTTTATAGGCACGACACAGGTATGAGATGTACAAGATTGTGAGGAGATCATTCGGACTATCTGGGGATGGAGACGAACGAGGCTGTTACAATTAATAAGCTTCATATCCTCCGTAATGTTAATACATATATTTTTGAAATTGTCAACATTCGTTAAAATCGCAAAATAAAATTTCCAAGCGCCTTCATATTGCTAATCTGTCAAACAACTGCGTATTGTACAACTTTCATTTTTTTGACAATCACTTTATTCAAGCGATATGGATTTCACAAAAAAAGCTTAATATTTGAAATGAAAGTTTCAAGATTATTCGTCGGTCCATACATAGGTTCTTGGCATCTCAATTAGTTTTTCTCTCGCTCCGGTTGTTTGGGAAATGCTTGTTTTTTATTCAGTTGTGGTCAGTGAAAGTAGCGCAGGTTGTGTTTCTAAACATTGTGAATTCCCAACCGGAAGATATCGTGTTGACAAAAGAAACTTCCTTCTGATGGCTTCAAGACAAACGTTTGACTAAATGTAAGTGGTGGATCATCATCTGTCTGTAAACAGTTTTATTATTTGTATATTATCAATGTAATCAAAGTGACGATAAGAATAAAACGTAATGTGACATACCTTGAGTTGTCCTATGACATTAATGATAATTCCTCCATCAAACATTGGCTGACAGTCCATCGATGTTATCAAATGTTGAATCTTTTGAAAGGTTAGGCTCTGAAAAAATGATGAACAGCTCCGTTTAAATTTTACGCAGATACGAAATTAAACAAATTGTCCAAGACATCAATAAATACCTGAAACTTTTCAAGAATTTTTTGAGCTCCCTGACATTGCTGTCCCTCAAAAGACATTAAGGATTCGGTCGGCTGAAAGTTTGAATTAATTAAATTAAAAATGGTAATAGGAGTAGCAGCAGATACAAAATCAAAACAATACGCCAATTATATTATCATCCTTACGTGATAAAGACCAAGCAAATTTCCACGTGTCACGGGATTATCGAACATAGCGTAGTATTGCTGAGCAAAGGCCTTCCCAATAGTGTCGTATTGTGGGTTGAAAGTTGCCATCTTTCGCCCTGCTGATTATTCTGTCGTAAAACAATGGAAGATTGTGTTAATTACGACTAGATTGAAAGTTTGAAATGATAAATCAAAAAAGTCAAACCTCTTTCAAGTTTTGTAAGGCAACCCACGGCAGTAAAGACTTTGGTTGTGCCGTGAATATGGTTTTATTCCTCCTTCTTATCCAAACAAGTTAATCTTGTCGTTAACTTTTAACTTTTTAATTTGTCAGAGAATTTCCCGTTGTTGTCACCACTCTAAAACAAATACGTTGCTTTTGTCTACTGGTTCCGTTGGTTTGGCTGGCAGTTGACTAAGCCGCGCCACCGGGGTATCGACAGAGACCAAAATGATGATCTATGATGACGATGTCTTTGTTCATAATAAACCGTTGCAAACGAAATGTAGCAATAGGGTGAAACCACATGAGATAACTTTTTATAAGAGAAATATTTTACGTAAATACCATCCCCACGGTCATCGTACGTCAAAACCATTTCGATTTTTGAAATCCCCGCCCCAAAATACGTCTAGAACGTTTGAAAAGACAAAATTCGACATTTTTTGTCGTCTACACGGTCACACGGTCATCGCACGTCAAAACCATGTCGATTTTTGAAGTCCCCGCCCCAAAATACGTCTAAAACGGTCGAAACAAAAAATTCGACATCTTTGAACGTTGGCGTCGTCGCCGTGGCGACGTGACCTTACGACCTACAATGCCCATCTTCGAACTTGTCCGTACTTTTAAAATTAGAAACACGATGGCGAAAACCGCATATCGAAATTCGAATCCGTTCAATAGTTAGAGCACGAACGGACAGACAGACGGACAGACGGACAAGGCACATCCATAATAGGGTTTCACCCTATAATAAACCGTTACAACGCATGTAACCAAGGGGTGAAAGGAGTGTCATACGTCAATGTGAATATCAAATTGTTCGAAAATTTGTTAAGATTGACACTTCTGACGTGTTTTCGACTTTTGTGTCTTATTTGTGTCAAATTTAACAGTTGATAACCCTTATGTGACCTTTATATGACCTCTGAGGTCAAAATGGAGGTCACCATTGAATTCGGGGTTAAATTTCAGTTGAAATTGAAATAGATATGTCCTATGACCTTTACATGACCTCTGAGGTCAAAATGGAGGTCACCATTGAATTTGACATTGAAAAATAGTTAAAAATGATGTGTCACATGCCAAAACTGACAAGTGACACTTTTTCGTCACTTTTCGTCACTGTGACGACGTCATCGTCACAGGTGACGTCTAAGCACAAAATGACCTGAATTTTCAAATTCCTCGTTGAAAAATAGTTAAAAATGATGTGTCACATGCCAAAATTGACACGTGACACTTTTTCGTCACTTTTCGTCACTGTGACGACGTCATCGTCACAGGTGACGATGTCACAGTGTCCATCTTCGAACTCGTCCTGTCCCTTGACGTTAGGAGTTTACGTTGAAAATTTCAAGTCTCTATGTCTTTTCGTTCAAAAGTTATCGGAGCTACGGACAGACAGAAGGACAGACGGACATAACGATCTTATAAAGGGCTTTCACCCCTTAATAATTTCATGGGCTTGTTCCTTCTGATTTAGACATTGCAGATTATACGTATAATTTATACTACAAATTATAGTATGGAGTACATCCGATCAAGCAGTGAGATAAGGGTTTTTATTAGACTAGCTTCATTTAATTTAGAGTATAAGCGAATATTTGAATCTATTTAGTGATTAGTCCTTCTTTTGTTCATAGCCACCCACTGTGGGGTAGTTGTCCCCAACAATGTAGATCAACACATACGCCAAGCCGAACAAGCAGAATCCTACCGGGAATAGAACCCTCGACACTTTATCCAACATTAAGGTTTTTCGAGCCTTGGAAGATCTTCCGTTAATTAGTTTCTCTGTGAAGATAGCAAGCAGGAAAAGTTACTGGCGTGTATATAACAAATACTAAAGCGTAATGAGGTGTCTTCTATGTATCTACCTGGGATCAAGTTGCCAATTTGATTCTGCTTTTGCTGGAGAGAATACGCCACCACCGCTGTTTCCAAGATGGCAAGGGCACCGAAGCTCAAGCAAAATCCTGTCCAGGTATCAATCGCCTTCGCGTATGGCACTTGAGGTAGATTTTGACTCATTCCATGAATTTGGGTGGCCATGGTCAGAAGAAGGGTCAGAGTTAGGCTGTTCGGAAAGAATCAATTATTATCGTTGTCCTCATGATTCGATAATGATGACATTATTATTAGTTTGTATTGACCTCAACCTAGCGCTGATTGCTGGGCCAAGATAGAATGATATCCAAGAAAGGCAGACGCACAGCCCGGTGGGCATATACACCAAACTAATATAAACCCAAGGTTGACGTTGGAGAAACATGCTGAGAAATATGCAACTAAATTCCGTTGTGGTGGGTAAACTGCAGTTTCCTGTTTCATGTCTCGTTAAGTCAAACTTTAAGAAGCGTGGTCCTTTTGAGTCCATAAATGTAACAGAGTTCGTGTTCACCCATCTGACGATGAGGTCCCTGCTGGACAAGGAGTAAGACTCCATGCGAATGGTGCAGATTTGGTTATCAAATGGAAAGTAGCGGAGGTCCTAAACATAGATATTTATTGTTTGGGACACTTTGTTACAAAAAAATAATCAGTAATTCATATGCTTAAGGTAAGTTTATATGCTAAAGCAGACCATGGGACATGAGAACGTTGAAGTCAACCTGGTACTCCACATGACACTCCCGTCAGGAAATACTCGTTTATAAGAATTTGGCTTCATGATGGAATGAACAAATCCAGAGGCTTCGTTTGCGAAAAATATGTCAGGGCTCCACAAGCCTACAGCGGATCCTGAGAATAGAGAATCATCCAAAGTGACATACTCAATCAGATCATTGTCCACTTCAAACCGGAGCCTTGGGTCCAACCACATTTGACGAAGTGTTATTTGTAGAGAAATGGTCATCTATTGTTCAAAAATTGCATTCAATTCCTCGCGTATAAAAATGACCATTGAATTTAAAATATGAAACCTTCAAGTCGTCAATGTTATTAATTTCCCTTACGAACATGTTGACCTTTACGAGCGTCGCATTCGTACGACTACCTGGGCGAACTACTTTAGAATAAGAAGGTGACGACAAAATGGCAAACACAGCTCTTTGGGCGTCCGGAATTGTTGACACAGGCTGAGAAGTCGTCGAAGCGAAAGACATGGACTTGAAATAATTAACATTTAGCAACATTAAAACTGCACAAACTGTTCTCGATAATTTTGCTGTATTATGCGTCGCAAAAATAATGGTAATCATTTTGTCAAGAAATATTTTGCTTTTAAAATCTTGTTGAAATTCTATAATAAGCTCAAATACAAATATTTCCGGGGGCAATCGATAGTCTTGCAACCAAATATTTGATGCGAAAATATACCGACCAGTCTACGCAAATAGCAGAAACAAATAATAGTACATACAAATATTTATTTCATTAATTTATCGATTAGGAATGTAATGGTGTAGGAAAGTAGTTGGATACTTAATTGCAAAAAGGTTTTTAATCGATCTCCTGTTCGTCTACTATTTCCTTTTTTCGTCATCGTAAAAGTGCCAAATTATCGTATCTCACATAAATTGCTAAAGAACATGCTATTTGTATGGGTATTAATTTTTTATCTATATAAATTCAGCAATGGACTTGTAATTAAGGACATTGGTCAGCAGACTGATAAGTTGTTCCTTCAGCTTCTCCCCGAGTACGAAGTCTCCTTTGTTGGATAAACTTCCATATTACGAAGACCAAAATAAGGCTTGATACAAGACCGAGACTGGCACTGACGACGGTGGCGATGGTGTGGGACGTATCGTCTTCTGCATAAATATGTGCACACATTTCAAGAAATACACTTTCTTAATGTATACATTCAACTTTATAATGTTTACAAGTTTATGTAAATACCTTCGATGTAAACATAAAACACTTTTGATGATGTTCCAGCCACGTTCGTACCATTGCAAACGAATTTCCCATGAACCTCATGAGAAACCCCGTGGAGAAATTCCACTCTACTTTTTGACCCGTTAACATGAATTATAAAAATATCATTTGATTCCAAAATCTAAATTCAAGCAATCATATCAATAATAATTAACTCAAAGGTTAAAATTGTCAAGTAGATACTTACTTTGTCATCCTTCGACCATTGGATTTGAGGCACAGGCGTTCCCAAAAAATTACATTCCAATTCCCTATCAGTCTGATTCAAGGTCCACCTGATGGATTCAGTGTCTCCATTATTTGGCACAGGTCGAGATGATTCTTTACAACCGAAAATCCCAATGAATGATCCATGGCACATTATCGCTTAAATAAAATAATCTGAGTGTAAACCTTGGACCTCCGTTTTGTAAGCCTTCGAAACCCACTCTGTGCTGTTCCACACAGGAGCGCAACAGGTTACAGAGTCCATTGTGACCTCCATCTTAAGTGTCAACCTCAATTCTTGCTCTCCAGGGTCGAAATATCCGTGTGTCCCTGCAACAATAGATGCGATCACAGAGACACTTACAATGTTAGAGTGCATTTAGTTTAGTTAAGCAATGTTACAGAGTGTGAGTCAACCTGACAATTTCTTGGATGTCCCATTCTTAAAGGATACCTTCCAAAAGCTGCCGGATGAAAACACATATGCAGACTTGTAACAGATGAACGTAAAACTTTCACCAGAAAATATCTCATGCAGTGGATTATCGTTAAATTGGCTGTGAAAATTAGTGTGGTAGTCCTTCTGGATTGTGACATAAAGTAAACGTTCCGCAGGTATCTGTTGAGTTGACAGGGAGTCTATTAACCAATATAATTAACCAGTGTTTTTTTCCAGCAGCATCACATGCAAAATAGTAGATCGTAAATATGTGCATACATGGATGATAAATTGGATGATAATTCAAATCTTGAGAGGAATTTTGAAAGTAAAATGAATAAGAATCAAACACATCAATTCCATCCCCTTCGCACTTTAACCAGAAAGATGTCCATGAGTAGAACCTTTGTTCAGAACAGTTTTTGACGTATTCAAAGAACCCCCATCGCTATATAACGATTTATATAAATTAACTATTTTTGTACAGACTTCGTGTAAATGACATATCCTGCGACGTGTACTTGCCGAGAATTTTCCAAGTGCTGCTGTAGACTTGATTATGTCACATTCTGGTGGATTGTTGCAAAATAAAATTTTCATCAAGGGTGGTTTCTCTCCATTTGAGCAGCATTTCATTAAACCATGCTCATTGTTAATCTCGATTGCAGCTGAACCCTTCAAAACCGCCCTGATTTCGAATTTACTGGCATCCGATGTTTTGTTCTCTGCTACAAACGACGAATGATAATACAAGTGGTAAATAAAAATTCAAGGCGCTATCACATTCGCATTTACGTATATGCAGCTTACATGTCACAATTGCGAAATGAAGTACATCTAGCGCATTAGAATCGTCGGCTGTGCATTTGTACCATCCTTATCAAAATATGTGTAAATATGGACGTACATATAATTATTTTAGGAGCTGGATATATTTTCAGTTTACATATTTCTGCTCTTACCCAATATTCCTGCAAGTTCGGCGACTCTGAAAGAATATCCATAGTGTGGATCGTAACTTATCGATTCGTTGGTATTGAGCAACTCCCAATTTTCAGAGTCAACTGTGCCACCCTGTATGCATAATTGAGCCATCGAATTTCAGCAGTTACCAACTATTTATGATAAACGGCTGTATGGTTCAATAATAAAAAACAATCCATACCAATACGTTTCTCTCTTTGAACAATTTCAGTTGAATATCATGAACATTTGGGGTAATGATTTTGCAAGGAGATGTCACCATTTGATTTGAACCAATGCCAATGGTAAAAGTTTGGCCAGCATAAACCAAGTACGTTTGCGAATATCCTGAATTAAATGTTTTTACGTGATAACATCATTTATTAGAAAAATAATGATTTTTTAATACAGTAGAAACCGCAGCGTTATCAAATAATTGCATACCACAGTTGACGGTATTCATTCGCAATCTTACCTGATGCATAAATGTATCTGCTACTCTGAATGTAGTTATTTTTAACTGATCTGCAAGTGTAATTGTTTGTCATTGATGGAGAAATGCTCCAGAACTTTATGATTGCGGAATGCTTTTGGTTTTCTGTTGACCCAAAAACGTCAACCTCCCTGGTCGTATAAGTCTCGATTTCAGAAAGATCAAAAACTGCTAAACTATCGTCAATTATCTATAAATAATTGTTTATAATAGCACTTCAGTCATATTTCAAAATTAGCGAAATTCCTGGTTTACCTCAATTGTGTTATTCATTGTCCAATACACAGGGTATGATGCTGAACATTTTAGAGTTATTCCCAACGTGCTTTCTCCAACGATGATGTCTTGTCCTATTATCGAATAATACTCGTCGTTGCCTCTGTTCGCCAACTGTGACACGTTTGTGGAAAAGTAATCATCGGTCTTGGACACTTGTGTAACCTCGATCACGGGCAGTTCATAATGGTTCTCATCTTTCGCCAAAGCTTTGCAAAGTATGATAACCGTTAAAACTAAAACTGTATTTGGGAACATAGATTTAGCAGTCATGATAGAAAATACGAAATTAATTAAATTATTATGAGAAATAGGACTACCAGCAGCAGTGACGGGAGAGATTAATTTGTTTCGCAAAGTATGTATGTACATAGCTTCCGGTTTAGGAAGGTGCAATTTCATTGATAATAAAACATTGCATGTCCAGCATGTCACGCATCTTAATCAATCACATATTGTAATAAATATATTTATGGCAGCTACCAAAAACAGTCCGAGTGACCTTGCACACGACGGCATAAAAAATTGAGAATTATGGAAATGCGAATTGAGCAGGTATTATAGTTTTGTCTAATTTGACGTCATTATTCGCAAATTGCACGTCAAAATATGAATCCTATGCTAAATATATTTGTGAAGGATGTGTATTATATGCAAATGCTTTTATTAGACGATAATTGTCAACCTTACTGTATTTTAGTTTGGGAGAAATAAGGCATGCATTAGAAGAAAAGATTAATCTTCTGAACAACAAAGACATAAATCGCAAAAGTCAATTCGTAAAGTCAAGTCATAATAATTCTTGTTTATTTGCTCTAGACATTGATAAATATGTTAGATATGGCTAATTTATTCATTATGTTCAAAAGTTTTACCCCAAAAAGAACTGGAAGCAAGCATTGGATTTTATTTTACAAATCCGTGATTATTTTTCTCTAGTTGGTTGTGGAATTAAAATTCTGCAGGACTTATTAGTATTTAAGTTAGTAGAGGTCAGCACAATTAAATAATTAGACAGAATTTCCAAAACACAAGTATTGTACATGTACATGTACATACATATGTAGTCGTACAAAGTATTCTTCAGTAGTTGTAAATAGATGCGACCACTTATCGATTTTACAGAACTGTTTTCCTTAAAATATATAAAGTTAAACATATAAATAATTCAAGGCGGAACCATTCTGAATTACATATGCCTGAACATTGCTGATTTTCTGGTTTGCTCCTAAACCTCAAAGTACAACCACATTCCAATAATTTTCGTCATGAACATATTCTGTTGCAAACTAGGGTCACAATTTGGCATGAGTTATAGTTGCATATTTTATAAACAGAACAATAATCATTTCCCATATAAACCCGTTCACTCCTCGAGTGTGCAGAAATCCTACTAAACTAAAGCCACTACACCGACTTGCTAATAATAGGTGTGCATACGTGAATAAGCAAGAAAAATGCAAAAACCCGAGGAACAGGAAAAATCCTACCAACAGGTAATAAATACTACTTTTAAATTAGCTAATCTAATCTAATAAAGTAATCATAAAAACCCATTCAGATGGTCAAAGACATGCGGAAAGTGTTTCTGTCTGGAAAAACGAGGGATATGCAATTCAGGAAAAGTCAATTGCAACGACTCCTCGCCCTTGTCGAAGAAAATTATGACTCGTTGTACGATGCCCTGTTTAAAGATATGCGGAAACCGTTGCACGAAGCCATGCTGACGGAGCTCATGTTTCTCAAAAGGTTTTCAATAATGGTTCATTAGTCATTAAAAATAATCCTATCAGAAGAAGTTCATTAAGCAAACATTATGATCACACGATTTAAATTACTTTCTGAAAAGGGATATAAGACACACGGCATGGAATCTTAAAAAGTGGAGTCGACCCACAAAAGTCCCCATGCACCTTACCACAGGCCCCGCGGATTCATTCAGCGTTAATCATGATCCTCATGGAGTGGTAACTTTGGTCTTTAGTATTTTCACTGCATTAATTGGCAGCAAAAATTTGTAATTTTGTCCAGGTTCTTATAATTGCACCGTGGAACTACGTGCATCTCGTTTTGTCTCCGCTTGTTGGTATTGCTCTGTTATTTCTTTTTGCATTGACAATAAGTAGGATGGAAATGCTTTCATTCTGATAACAAATTTTGTCGTTTGTAGGAGCTATTGCAGCAGGAAATTGCGCAATTCTCAAGCCCTCTGGTATATAGTAATTTTTTGCCAAAGTATTTACTCATTAGTATTATACATAGCGTTTTTATATTATTTTAGAGGTCAGCGTCAATTGTGAAGCCGTTGTGGCAGAGCTGATTCCGAAATATCTGGATAATGATTGTTACAAGGTTGTAACAGGTAAGTAACTGATAATTAAGCAAGGAAAGTATATGTACATATATTCAACTGTAAATTGTGCTGTTTGGTATAAATGATAAATAGGAGGACCGAGTGAGATAACTGCACTGCTGAAGGAAAAGTTTGACTATATCTTCTACACTGGCTCCTTTCCCATTGCGCAAATTATTCATGCAGCTGCAAACAAGTACCTCACTCCAGGTAAACCTTTGGGTTTGCTATTTAATAGTAATTCATGATAGTAATGCTATTTTTAGTGACGTTGGAGCTGGGTGGAAAGTGGTAAATGCATTCATTCGCAAAAAAATGACTTACTGCATTATTATTAATGCATTTTAAATTGATAACTATTTTCCAGTCCCGTCTATGTGGATGATTCCGTCAACTACCACATGACAGCACAACGGATTCTGTGGGGAAAGTTTACCAACCTGGGTCAGACCTGCGTGGCTCCAGATTACATTATGTGCAATGAACAAGTGCAAACCAAGCTTGTTGAAGAGTTCAAAAAAGTACTGCTAGAGTTTTACGGAGAAAACATGCAGGAGAATACTGATCTCGCCAGAATTATCAACGCTCGCCATTGGAACCGTCTCAAAATGTTGTTGAAGCGATCGAAAGGAGATGTTGTGATTGGGGGCGACTTGGACGAGTATGACTTATGGATTAGTCCCACTGTTATTGGTGATTTGAAAATATGCAAAACCTAATGTATTCCAATTGTTGTTGGTAAGTACACATTTATGAATCGGTATTGAACACAAACAGTAAATGTGGAAGAGACGGACTCGTTAATGGAGGGAGAGTTGTTCGGCCCGTTGTTACCAATTCTAAATGTCAACTCCGCTGATGAAGCTATCGCATTTATCAACAAGCGGTAAAAAAATACGTACATGTAATCAAATAGTTATGCCCACCTTATATAAAAAGTAATCAAATATTAACAGAGACACTCCTCTCGCACTGTACTTGTACACAAGGAAAAGCGATACTGTGAAAAAATTTAAGAATCTAACACAGAGCGGTGCTCTCGACATCAATGATTGCATTTATCATTGCTCAGGTATGGTTTTCTTCAATGTGACTCGGATGTTTTTTTTCTGATAAGCCACTGTTTTTTTAAATTGAAGTCTTTGAGATACCGTTTGGAGGAAAAGGAGAAAGGTTTGTAAAATTTAAACGACACATTAAAAGACAAAAATTAATTTTTAAAAAAACTATTAAATTAGTGGAATGGGACGATATCATGGGAAATGGAGCTACGATACGTTCTCCTACGATCGTGCAATCTTGCACAGAATGTTCGACCCAATCGGAAATATTCATTCAATGACTCCGAGATACCCGCCATACACGCAATTCAAGTACAAGCTTTTGTACAACGCTCTGAAGCACTTTGACCACCTGTACGTGGACCCCTTTAAAGCCGTCCCCTACTTTGTGGTATTCCTGGCTGGAGCGATTCTTGCATTTTGTATCATGCACTTCAAACTCTACGAATACTTGGGCTTGTAACTCCCAAGAGTGGGGAAAGTAAATAACAATCTAATAGTGGTGTTATCTAATGATGAATTTGTTTAATTTGATCTCATGTTTTTTCGAGTTGTACACATAAATTGTAAATATTGTCATAAACTGTTATAATTATTATAAAAGTTACAATACATGTACCGACATCACTTAATGCTTGGCATTCATTCGTTGTTAGTCAACGGAATAAATTTCTTCTGCTTTATACGTAAAATACGTAAAAATGGATTATAAAGTACTAAAAGTATTTGCACTCCTTGTGATTTTCCGAATACATGGGGCCCATACAATAAAATCTAAACCAATAAAATCATCAAAACCACAAATTGTCGAGTTGATTTCAAGCTGCCATGATTGTTTCATTAACATTATCAACTTTCAAGATGTTGACAGGAGTAGTCGCTTTCTGCAGGAAATCCACCTCAAACCTGGGGCCCGACCTTTCCTATTGAACAATGGATTGGAGTTTTTGACCCGTCTAGTATTCTACAGAGCAAAAGGATTTCATGTCGTAAATCTGTTGGTATTTCCAGAACAGCGTGACCGATCAAGACTTGGAGACACTCGTTGGATACCACTCGTCTTGTACAGAACGGCCCCTCGATATGGACATTGCAAGAATTGCTCTTCCGAGTCTAGTGTCTTTACAAACCAACAGCTTTTGGAAAAACATCACCTGCTGATTGTTACAAGGAAAAAGTCCAGAATGTGGTATTTCGACTTAAAGTCGTACAGAGCTGACTTTGTTCAGTCCATTTTCATCTTTCATTTGACACCAAAGACTGGAATTGTCTCCCACTCTTATATTTGTCAGTATTGTCTGACTCAGGGTTTCATGGATGTTCAAATCCCAGTCCTCCCAGCAAATTTTAGAAATACACTCCACTATTTGAACGAAATTGAAATGAAGGTTTATGGTTACGGTTCAAGGTCTTGCATTGACCTAAAGTCTCACGGATCTTTCAAGTTGCTTCACGTTGAAAATCGTGGGAGATCGGACACTTTAGCAAACATTACAATATCACCATTTAAACAGAATAGCCGACTTATATTGGAAAATATTGCCATGATTTTTCTACGTGAATCACTCAATTTAAAGTCTCTTCATGAAATCCAGGACGAGCTAATGACTAATTGGGGCTGGAATGCTACCGCGTTTAGGTTCAAGGTACCAGACAATTATATTGACAAGAGACCTTCAATTGAGTTTAAGGAATTGCGAAGCGAACTAACGGCGAATTATAAAAGTCAATTTATTGTGGCCACGGACATTTCATTTGACTTTATCACTTGCGACGGAGTGACCACCGATTCTTATACCAACACGTTCTACTCCGATATTCTAATTTTCTTTTCTCCATTCGGTTGTTGGGTGTGGATTGTGACGTTATTTTTACTCTTGTTCATCCCTGCGCTTATCGGAGCGATTGCAAATTGGACGCAATCACTATCTGTTTCTTTGCGATGTCTGCCACCAAGCAAGTTGAGGTCTTTCTCTTTTAACTTTCACTTGAGTTTGAGCAGTTTGTTGGAAAATGGGAGTGATTTAAACTTGACAAAATACATGGATCCAATAATACCAAAACAGTTTAGTTCCGTAGCATATTGTTTGTTTTCTACGTGGCTGATTTATCTCTTTTTCCACAACAATTTGTACAAAGGAGTTCTCACATCCGTGGAAATTGTGCTGCCTCCACCGACATCGAAATGGAGTAAGATTGTGCAACTCGTAAATTTCACATTTGTCACTCCTACAATGTTGGATTACTGGAAAGATACTGATAAACCAGCACTTTTACTTCAACGCACTCAACTAGGAAATAGCTTGGGCATTGCTGTCAAAAGGATTAAATCTGAGGGGATCTTGTCAGAATTTAATTACCCGTATCTTCTCACATTATTTAATCAAACGTATGGACATCAGGGTTGGAATATTAATAACAAAACTGCCTTCTACAATTTCATAGCAAATTGTAATAAAACAGCTTTTATTGATACGGGCGATAGAATTGAATCATTTATAAAGTATTTTGAAACTGAAGCCCATTTAAGGAAAGATAGCATTATATTCATGTCAGGAAATGATGACTTTTTGAAGACTAGTTTTGGTTGGGTATTCTCATTTTATTCCAAAGTTTACTTTGGTCATTTGTATCGAAAACTGCAAGAATTTTTTCACTCTGGAATTTATGGGTTGTATAAAAAGTACTATGATCGGAACAACAGCACAATGGTAGTTGGAGGACGAGTCAAGTCTCGAACATTTGCTCTCTCTTCTGAAGCTCGACCTGTGGGGTTAAGGGGTAAAATTAGTAGTTTGTTGGCATTGTGTTTAATGTTGTGCTTTGTTGCAGTCGTAATTTTTATGCTGGAATTGCTAATAATAATTAAAAAGCGAAATAGACTGACAACAATACCTACTTACTTCAGTATTACTTATTGATAAGATATCAGTAATTGTTTTAGATCTTGTTAATTTTTTAATTTAACTATTTCGAGATTAAACTTTCTCGTTTTTCATGCCAATGATAAATCGTATTTACAATGAGATGAGTTTTTTAAGCTCAGGCTGATTTGAAACGACGAGTCTAAAAATAAATTTCCGAATTTCTCCTGACTTCCGACTCTTGCAAGAACGGAGGTTTGGAACAACACGATCGTGATTTGTGTATATTGGCAAATAGTTTTTAAACATGATTTAAATTACTGACATGTTTTATTATAAAGCATTTAGTCCGATTTACAAAGATAAAACCATTTATAACATGTGTATTTTGTCTGCAAATCATAATCTACATTAATTCTTACTCAAACGCTGTTACATAACATATAATTTGATTTATACTGTCCACTTTTGTACACAATAAATTACTACGGTTCGAACATGGAGATTGTACCGAAATTGTTGAGTGAATCCTTGAATGAAGAAACTCCACATAAGATCTCGAATGAGTCCAATACGCCCCTCAACAACGAACTGGTAAGAATGCTTGCTATACAATATCCGTTATTAAGTTATTAAGCTAATGATAACGAATTTAAGTTCACACTTGCAGATTCTGGAGAAAATTTTCTACTACTTGAGCAACATCCAAGATTTACTTGCAGTTCGTTTGGTCTGTGTCCAGTGGGCAATATTGGGCTCCAAAATGATGAGAACTCGTCATCGTCCAATAATTCCAGTAAACATTGTGGGAATGTACGAAGACAAAGTCCAATTTCGAATTCACGATATCCTCAAGATCAAAGACTCGTCTTTAACATTTCCATCGCTCAAGGACCATTTTCCGTTCAACCGCTTCAAATTTGGAGAATACGCACTTGATATGGGCGTTCCGTATATTAACAAATTTTTCCATCTCTTCAGCCCCATTTCGCACGTGACTTTTTCTCCGGAAACGCTCAATAATACTCAGGTCTCTACGTTTCGAGAAATAATTCTATTTCATTTGCCACAGTGTGAATCGATTGAATTGATTTTTCCACGATACGGGTATCTGGAATTCCCGTGGCTTTTTCCAAAAACAATATTCACTCTTCTCAATCCAGTTTTACCAAACGTTATTCAATTGGTTCTAAAATTGCCAACGGATCGTACCGAATTCGTACCACAATTTTTCAAAGACTTGTTTAGAGCTGTACCAAACGTCGTTACGCTCAAAATCATAGGAGCTCATGCAGGGCTCTTAGATTGCTTGTTATCGAAAGATATTCTCCAAGAGACGTATCCATTCTTAAAGATGCAAAATTTGGAAATACAAGTGAGCGATGAAAATCGAACAGAAATTAATCATAAAAACCTAGCTGAACTAACAGAAATTTCAAAAAAGTATTTAAAGTTAAGAACGCTAATGTTATCGTCTATGACAGACAATGTCAATTTAAGGGCGCAACAAGAATTTTTGGCAGCAGTTGGAGGAACATTGGAAAAGTTGACCATATCGAAATTTTCTTACTTTGAGTCACTAATTCCACTTGGAACAATTGGCATTAACTTGAAATACTTTGAAACTACATTTCTCAGCGAAATACAACCTTTGGATTTTGTTTTCGAGTCCTTACCAAATTTAAAAACGTTGATTTTAGGGAAAGTTACCAGCGATTTGTTCAGCTTAAAAAATTTAGTACCGAAATTACTGGTTGATGCATACCCAGTTCATCCTCTGCAAAAATTAACGCTTCCAAAGGGATTAATTGACTCGAGTGCATTGCCTAAAATATTAGAGGGATTCTCAAAGTTGAGAAGCTTGGAACTGACTGCAGATGACGAAACGCTCAAGTCCATTTACAAGGCAGGAAATGCTGACAAGTTGAAACATTTTACAGAATTGTCCTTATTCGATGATTCGGTGGTGACTGACGAAGGCATTACGGGATTGCCTTTGGCTATTTGTCGAGAACTGTATAAAAATCAATGTGAACTACCAAATGGTATTAATTCTGTCGAAGAATTAAGGAAAGATGCGCCTTGGATTGCATATTTAACTGGTGAGTTCAACTAGTGCTTAAGACGTGCACACATTATCTTGTAACATAATATACATATATGAATTTATGCGTTACTTATTCAAATTTTATTCACAGGACTTCGTGTGTTTCAATTAACGGAAAGTGATGAAAAAAGCGTCCCAAAGAATCGCATATCAAATGTTTCCATAATTTTTGGATTTAGATTTCTACCAGAGCTCAACAATCTTACAATTCCTAAAACATGGGTTAGTAAAATACTCACAAGTTATTTTCACGGGTCTCCTCTTTCAATGTATTATAAAATTGTAATTTATTATCTACATAGATCACCAACTTTTCACTGTACTACATTGGAAAATATTACACGAGTCCAGTAGTACTGTTGGATATCAGCCTTTGTTACAGGTTGACTCCACCGGGAATTGAAAAGCTAAAGGAGGATTTGCCAAACTTACAAATCAAGTGCAAAAATTGGTACAAGAACTTGGTCTCGATAAGTAACAGAAATGAAAATATGGTCGTTCCGTCCAGTTGCTATTTTATGGCGTTTTGAATGCATAAAGCTCGTTACTAATAATAAAATTGGGGTCAGAGTTGGAATGTTAAACCTTGATGTACATCCAAATACTTATTGTTAGTGACATCATTCTGTGATAAATTGATGGTATGTACATATGCGTATAGAACAATTTTCTATAGCCAGCCAAGGAACGTGTATTTGTTATTGGAACATGTGTAGAATATAATGCTCAATTTACAATATTGGAAAAATTAGTACACACAATTAGTTCAAAAACTTTATTACGTCGTCATTGAAATATGTTCGTTTTTTAAGTCATCCTCTGTAAAAATCGTGGAAGTAGATTTGCCGAAACTGTAACCCTCAATCAATTGTTCCAACTTTCTTTCCGTTTCGCAGTGAATAAACTTGGCACCCGAGTTGTGCATCACTCCAATCAAGATTTTCAAAATTGAAGGTTTCATTTTGTAAAATATTATCTTGTAGCCGTTTTCGTTCAAACGCAAAACCATGTCTCGAATTCCCTTGAGAAGAAACAAGAAAGTGAAAATTAAACAATCAAGTCCAATTATGATCAACTTGCATAATTAGCACGTATTATTTATAAGTTCATATTAATAAGTTCATACTTCGGCTGCTGTAAAATCGGCAAATTGAATGTGGTGACAGTCGATAACTATGGGCGTGCGTTGATTAGCATATCTCGATGATGCTTTGCTAATTTCATACGTGGAATAGTCAACAGATGGGAAAGTGAGCGATCTGTCCAAAACAATTAAGCAAAATCCACGACCACTCGATGTCTGTTAATTGTTTAAAAATTTAAATGCGATTGTGCAATGCGTGACGAACATACTGATTCTACAAACTCTCCTCAGTATGAATTAAGTACAATTCCTCGTGGACTCACCTCCCCTTGAAGAATTTGCACCCTAGGTCTTGCGGAATAATACAAAAGATAGAGTGTAGAGCTAATCAGTCCAATTCCTATTCCAAATTCTAAACCAAGCAGCAATGTCACGAAGAATGTCAAGAAGAAAGGCACCAAGTCCATTCCTAGAAGCACAATTAATTATAAATGCAAATTACTCTTAGAAAACTAAATTATCGCCACAATTAACTCACGCTTTGACCTCCACAACGGCAAAATAATCCATGGATCGACCATAAATATTACTGAACAGGTTATGACCTGTTCAGTAAAAATATTAGTAATAAAATATTAGTGTAAAATATGTTAGTTAGATAATTACAAAAAGTAATTATAAAAAATTACAGCTGCCAGGCTGGCTTTCGGGATGAAGAAAAAGTACGGTGTTAGAAACTGGAGGGCGAGCAAAACCATTATTCCTGGAACAAGTTAACATTTTTTATTATGCAAATAATGCACAAATTGATTCTTTTTTGTTTCTATTTATACCTGTATACAAGCCCCCAAGAGGGGACTCGACCCCGCTGAAACTGTTGACCGTGGTACGCGAGAAGGAGCCTCCTATGGAATAAGAACTGAAGAAGCAAGAAATTGCGTTAGAAATCCCGATACATAGCACTTCGGTATTGGAGTCAACCCTGCTGGAACCAGCGAACGCCTAGGGTACAAACGGTTCATCATAAGTGATAACCAACCCCAGAAGGAATACTATTGACCCCATGAAGCTAATACTGATATTAAGTACTTGCCTTCGCTATCGTTATATGACCCATTACGCTAGGACAAAAAATAATACATTGCTATCAGTATTAATTCATTGCGTATTGCATAAATGGCATAGCAAAATGTTTATCAATAGAGTATCTTATACCCCAGAAGTGGAAGAACCAAAAGTGCAGAAGCCTCTTCTTGCAGGATGTCAAGAAAGTTATGCGTACGATTATCTGCTGGATCATAAATTGTCACTGGGGGTGGCTTGAAGGCTGGTATTCCAGGTGGTATTTTGCCTGCATATACATAAACATGACCACGCATATAATTAAAATATCAGTAATCAGACACAGCGTAATAAAATGAGTAGTAGTAAAATAATACCAACGATAGAGAAAGGTTGATCTGGATAGTTCAGACCCACATAAATCGTAGTTGCAAAAATTACAATTGCGCTTCTCGAAGTGGAAATGAACCAGAAAAACTTTAAAAATTTCTTGTTGGTCACTCCACATGTCTGAGTTATCTTGGTTAGAAACTGAAATGAATATGCAAATTTATTTCAGTAAGAAATATGAGACAAGAAATTTTAGAAAGGAGGGGAGGTTGCGTACTATCAACTCCCGGATCTCGATGCCCTTGGGATAGGTTGTAGTTTCTCATGAATGAACAAGAACCCCCAAGAGGTTTGATGTCATGGCCACATTTACGCCCGCCGCACCCACTCAAAGGTGCCCAAAAAAACGGAGAAAGTAGCGCTTTCACTCATTCAAATCCACTCCAAAAATCCAATTTTACTCGGATTCTGAAATTTCTTTCACCATTATACTCCCAGACAGTTGTTTTCTTATATCCAACATCAAAAACTTTGTTGGTGATTATCTCGCAGGCATAATTTGCATTGCTGATTACTACAACAATGCTCATTCAGAATTTTAAATTTCAAAAATACTGAGAATTTCAAGAAGTTAAGTTTGATGCTGGATATAAGAGAAGAACTATCTGGGAGTATAATGGTGAAAGAAATTTCAGAATCCGAGTAAAATTGGATTTTTGGTGTGGATTTGAATGAGTGAAAGCGCTACTTTCTCCGTTTTTTGGACACCTTTGAGTGGGTGTGGCGGGCGCAAATGTGGCCATGACATCAAACCACTTGGGGGTTCTTGTTCATTCATATCAAAAGGGCATCGAGATCCGTGAGTTGATAGTAAACAACCTCCCCTCTTAATACCATACTTACCTTCATAATGAGGAGAAAGATGCAGCATCCCAAGGACAGAAGTGCATCCTGCAGAATAATGATAATTGTTATTTCTGTTTTCCCCTTAGTGGAGACTGAGTGCACTTTTTTGCAGGATTTTATTCATGTAATGATGGGTATGCATGATAATACCGGAACTTTAACTTCTTCAATGTGGTCAGCGAGTCCCAAGACCGTGGGGAGAAATCCCTCTCGATCGAAATGAATACCAAGCAGAGCTTTAATCTGGGTAGCCACAATCGTAATTGCGACTGAAGATGTAAATCCAGAAATTACTGGTGAGGAGATATAGTTGGCAATAAATCCTAAAAAGGGTCATAAAACCGATTAATTCGCCACTCCCTACTTATCACTTCAATTAGACATTTGGCTCATGAAACACGCATAAAAGTCTGAATTATACAGCCACGCTCTCTCTTTCTCTCGTAGATTGAAGATCAAGTAATGATGATCAACATGATTGTGCAGTTTTATTACAGAGTAAAAGGAGAAAAGTCAAATGGGAAAGCCTATCGTACGTGCACAAGTATGTAGCAGTACATACACGTGCATATACGCTACGCATTTCTCCCGAAAAGGAATAAAAACTCTGATACGCTGCAGTTCCCTGATTAGTATGACGTAAAAGAACAAGAAATTCTTAAAGACCCATTTTGAAGACGCCCATGATCATCGTTACGACTGCCGTGACAGCACAGAGAAACACTGCGTATTCTGGAGGTTTTCCAAAAGTGTACTTATTGGTAAGGATGGACTGGATAGCAGTTGGCCCGATAGTGATTGCCTAAAATGGATTCATACGTAACCACCATTTATTAAGATGAGTAGATATTGATGGCAAAAAATGTAGTATTTCAACAAATTACCTTTGTGCCTCCAAACAAAATGTAGACGAATGGTCCCACGAATGAGGAATAAAGTCCATAAATTGGAGGTAATCCGGCGACTGTTGCGTATGCTAACCCTAATTTTACAATGATTATCATTGCATTTATTCCATTAGTCGAGGTTACATACTTCGTTCATGATTTCAAAAATACAGGGAATATTACTTACCCTGCGGAAGTACAGTCAGACCAACGGTGACTCCAGCAATTAAGTCCGCCATGGCTTTTTGTCGGGTATATTTGGGTCCCCAGATAAGAATGGGAAAGACCCTCTCCAAGTTACTTTTCCTGTGTGGGTACGCCGGCATAATTAATTCTTATTTTATTGCGGGTGGGTATAAGATCATGGAGCGGGAGCAAGTGAAAGCTACATAATGCATAAGTAAGCATGACTTGAACTCTGCCAGACATACCTGAATTTATGCTTAAGCCATCCTGTATTCTCTTCTTTGGGCTGAGGAGTGAAATCATATTCTCCAGATTGCTCGATGCTTGGCAGACCGGAAATTCGGTCTCCGTAGCCACCAATTTGCGTGGAGGATGGTGGGGCCAGTGACGACAAAGATGCACTGCTTCCCGAGTGGATAAGCGTAGTACGCATAATTTGTCAAAATTATTCTGCGCTCAACCAGTCGTTGAACGTGGACGGAACAATTTTTTAGAATGATGATTTAGTGAAGTTTGAAGATGAAATGGTGAATATGCAGCATCAGATGAGAGTTTCTAACCCTGATTACTTTATGCTGGCCATTTCGGACTCCATTCTCTAATGATCTTTAAAGTTATTCAGAGACGACAAGCAAGTGAAATTTATTTTCATACGTATGTACGTGCAGCCATGAGGTAATGGAAGCATTGCACAATTATGATTATTGATTCCGTGTCATTTAAATGCAAACTCAGAAGTTCGTATATATTTTGGTTGGAATTAAACAAATGTATTTCTGCCTGAATTGTGTGGCCGCTCAAAGGCGTTGTAGATTTAATGTTGCAATTTAAATTTGAATATCATTAACTTAGTTAGAACTGTTTTGGTTATATAAGAATTAAGTAAGGTCTCCTCAATGACACCTTAAACTGCTCTGTCAATATGTATATCACTTGTCGAATGCGAGGTATTCCTATTTTTAGAAGACAAAAGGAAATAAATTCTGTCAATTGGACATAACGAAGAGGTGAAATAAGTGGTAGAAGTAAGCAAAAGTTTAAAATCTTATAAGGTAACCTTAAGTACTGTCACATCTCGATTTCCTTTTTTCGGATTTCCTTTTTTCGGATGGTCTTAATTGATAGATAATTTAGTGTAACCAAAACTTTGTCGTAGGACATTCGGTGCAAAATCACGCTTTTGTGAAATATTTGGCGACAGCTGCACCAAAACGTGCAATTTTTCTAATGCTTTTAACATAGATAACAGTCTTCGAATAATGAAATGAAGTTTATAAATTATAATTTCATGTGATCACCAATATGCAAAATAATCATACAAACAATGGCTAATTTTTTTAATTGCGAAAATCTGCAAAATTTTCTAAATTTGAATTTCGCCGTTTTTTGAAATTGTAATAAAATTTAAATGTTAAACTTCTTTTAGTTAAGCATTGCAAAAAAGCTTTCAAATTTTTTTTTTCTTCAACAAAATGGGCAAAAATTTTCAAAAATTGAAACTCACAACTTTTCATGAAAAACGACATAATGACCAACGCTAGTCTATTTTACGTATTTTTCAAAATTGTTGGAGATATTTGTTTTTGCAAGTGGCAAAAAATTTTGGAAATGTATATCGTCAGCTTTTAACATATACAACAAAATAACTTTTCCACACCTCGTTCGAGATTTTGAGCTTTTTGGAAAACTGGACAAAATTTCAGCTGGGAGGGACCTGATGGGGTCCCTCCACTATGGCATATATAGGACGTCCACCGTATGATTATTTTGCATATTGGTGATCACATCACTACCATAAAATGACAGTGTTAAGTTCTGGGTCGGTCCGTAAGTCAATGCAAGTCGCCCCGTAGAGGAGACAAAGAAGGAAGCGGAGCAAACACTGCATGCATGAATGCATGAACTGCTACCCCATACATACATCAACTGATCAACCAACCATCATTACTCATCAATAGTGGTTATCATGATAAGTGATCGTGATAAACACTATTAATTAATTATTTTAGTTTGAGAAACTCCACCCACAGCGAGTGGCATATCAATTCGAATGTATTTTTGACGCTGAATCCAAAGCCATTAATGGTTTTGACCTCCGAGGCCCCCGTGACCTTCCCGTGACCGTGGCAGCTAAATATGGCTTATTCGTGATGTTGCATATCAATTCGAATGTATTTTTGACGCTGAATCCAACGCCATTAATGGTTTTGACCTCCGAGGCCCCCGTGACCTTCCCGTGACCGTGGCAGCCAAATATGGCTTATTCGTGATGTCGCATATCAATTCGAATGTATTTTTGACGCTGAATCCAAAGCCATTAATGGTTTTGACCTCCGAGGCCCCCGTGACCTTCCCGTGACCGTGGCAGCCAAATATGGCTTATCCGTGATGTCGCATATCAATTCGAATGTATTTTTGACGCTGAATCCGAATCCGTCAATAGTTTGACGTTAATTATAGAAGTTGGGGTTTATGGAACTGAACGGGAGCGTGAAGCGCGGGAATATAAATAGTTAGCTATGCAGTTACTCCCACACGACGGGAATTTAAGTAATTAGCTATTCAACTACTCCCACAGGGGGAAATCAAATTGTACTGTGACCAGGTTAATTAAAATGCAGTATGACTGGGGCAAACCCTCACTCTGATGTATGTATGTAGTACGACGAAGTCTCCACTGGGAATTATTTAAAGTATAGCATGACGGATTTTTCGCTTTGGGCACACCCCCCACTGGAACTCTAGAACCCGGCCTTGGCCGGGCTATACGCTAGTGAAATTATAATTTATAAATTTCATTTCATTATTCGAAGACTGTTATCTATGTTAAAAGCATTAGAAAAATTGCACGTTTTGGTGCAGCTGTCGCCAAATATTTCACAAAAGCGTGATTTTGCACCGAATGTCCTACGACAAAGTTTTGGTTACACTAAATTATCTATCAATTAAGACCATCCGAAAGGAAATCGAGATGTGACAGTACTTCAGGTTACCTTGTTAGATAAAATGTTATAATTTCGGAATTTTTTCCCTTTTTGACCTCTTCGACAAGGTCACAGGATCATTCTTGGTCAAAATTACGGTGGGCAGATGTTAAAAATATTATCAATTTGACGGACGGAGCTGATTCATAAAATAATTTCATCCCTCATGGAAGGAAGCCTTTGATTTCGAAAATGCAAAAAGAAGCTAATGAGATGGTTCTTGATTTCTACTGGAAACTGACTTGTTATTCTACTCACTTGTTCGTAATACGAGTCAGACATGTCTCATGCCCCCATTTGCTATTCATCCATCGCGTTATGGTGTATTTTTATAACCCAATAGACGCTCTTCCTTCTCATTTTTGGAATACGAATCCTATTGGTTATGCAATTAAGTACGTACGCTTTTCATTGTTTTTCTTTGTCGTTCATTGAGACGACCTGGCAGGAGTAAAGGCGGATTGTGCCATCAATTGAAATGGTATGAATGCACTGGTTAATGATCTCAAGCATAAAATATAAAATTAGTGAAAGGCAGGTTGAACTAGTCCTCAGCATGTTCATAGAACTGAAAAACGAACAGAACTCTTACACACTTTCCTCGTGCTGAGTAAAGTACACACTTGTCGGGTTAAATGTCACAACTTGTGAAAGTTGCCGTCGTGTTACTCCGTGTGCATACAATCCCACTCTCAAGTGAGGTGTAAAAATAGTGTATTTGAAAGACTGCACCGTATATTTTTTGTACACCGTTCTGCATACATATAAAAAACATGAGGATAGCGCAAATCGTTTCTTTTTCTCCACAAGTTAATCATATGACCTTTCTTCTTGTCAATCCCAATTTTTACTAAATCATTCTTCTTTGCTAAAGACACATCAAATATTCATCCGATATTAGCAAACACCAAAATTTGTCGAGTAAATGCCGTACATGGGTTCAATTTACCCGTTGTTGCACAATGCTGTCGTCGTCGTCCACATTTTGTCGTCACCACAGAAGAGAAAGACTACGAAATCCAATTTGAAAACGTGTCTTTGTGTTCCATGACATAGTTTTGTCAATTCAAATTCTGAGGAAATGTGATTACGGTGGTGGCGTGCTTATTTTTGAAGGCATTATATTCTTAGTTCATTTAAGAGGTGTGTATGCGTTTTGTATTAAAATTGGCCATTCACCGGCGGCGTGTGTTTGTATGGATGGTTGTTAATGCTGGGCTCTCCTATTATGCGAAGACAATGCCATAACAATTCAAGACGTTTGAGACTGGAGAACAATGGGAACGACAGGCAAAGCCGGAAAGGGTTTGTTGATCGTGTTTCAAATATAAAGAACTACACGTAATTTGTCACTCCAAAACGAAAATGAAAAAAGAAACTGTAATAAAGTAGTTTTGCAGTGAAGCGACGATGTGCGAGGATGGCGAATATGATATTGAATCTTCTTTGAATTCAATTCAGTGCTTATAATTTGCAAGAATTGTGAATCCCAGCCACATGACATGACATCATCCTGCAGCTCGAAAGAAAAAAACATTTCACTCCTTTTATTTCGACACATTCTAATTTAATCCAGAATCTTTTGCACAAAGCAAAGAAAGGAGACTTCGTTCTGCGATTCCAGCATTAAAACTATATTCATTACGTTTTAGTACCTCTTTATTGCTTTGAGAGGAAATTTGTTTTTCTATTTTTTCCCCAAATCTTATGTAATTTCTGTGTGAATGGTTTTTTATTCATTTTGAATTCGACATAAAACTTGTATTTGTTAAATAACACACATTTCCAAACATTTGCACTGCTGAGACATTCTTGAATAATGTGCAATTAATTAGCATGAATTTCCCCTTTGTTGCTCGTGTCGTCGCAATGTTTGACAAATGAGCAAGTTTTCTCCCTTTTGGACAAAATGAAAGTTGTCACACATAAGAAAAGTCATATCATTGTGAGGTCGATCGTTTATGTAGAGAACATCAAAGAACTTTTGCCGTAGCTATGTCCACAAGTGCCTCGTTTCAGAATAATTTTGGCGTATGTGAGAAATACGATAATTCAAACAAACTAATTCGTTCGGCGGATGTACTACTGAATATATTCAAAAATTGCGTTTTCAATGTTGACGCAAACCCTAGAATCAAAATGTTCACGACTTTGAAAGTATTTGATATTGATTTCTCCGTGCATTGCACTCACGCAATGTCGCCTGGTACATATTTTTTATATGCAATATATTATGGAGTGTAAATTTGGTTGATCCAATATTTTCTATACATGCATTTTTGTACATTTTGAACCAAAAATATTCTCAACGGAATCATGTATTTATTCTAAAATTTGGTTGTACAACACCTACACACGTATGCAATATGCAACCTTGAATGAAAACATATCTCCAACCGTAAACCAAAACACTTCGTCATGACTGGTAATTTTGAAAAATGATTTTTTTTTCACTTTGACACTAATGTTTGTCATCTGATTGATAACGGTGAGGGTGGAGAAAGTGAAAAGTACAAAAGAATATATTTCAGGCGTATTTCAAGATGCACATAATTTTATGGTTCTCGTTTTGGAAAGTTTTGATGTAGTAATAAATTGAAACATCGGAAAAAGGTCAGTTTCCGTTTGGACAGGAAAAAGTGTGATTAATGAAAGTTTCGCTTACAATTCTTTTCCCAGAATATCATCGATTATCAAATTTCGTTACAAACACACAACAAGACCCGTAATGACTGCCTACAACCTACTAAAATTTGTGTTTCACTTATAAATGTTGCATCCGCTGTCCTTGTTTTGGGGGCGACTCTCATGCAAAGCGATAATCAAGAGTTATGTTGTTGTACGCTATGGTTTTTGTGTCCGTGCAATTGGAAATCGCCTTCAACAAATCATTTCTATCCACAAACAATTATTCGCGCACCAATCAATACTCGTGACAAATAATTGGGTAGGTTGGCAGAGCTGAAGAATGTGAAACAATAAATGCCTGACTGACTGGACTGCCTGCCTGCCAACTCACCTGAATTTATAACAAAACAAAAATTGACTACTGGTGATTTCTGATTTTCATCGACTTCGAATCGATCTGTGCAATAATCTTGTAAATTGAAGTGGCGTGTCGATACACATCCCCACTGCATCCGAATTTATGTACAAAGTGTGTTTCAAAGCCTTTCGAGGCAAGGAAACTTCAGTCAAAACATGAATTACAAATTTAGGCTTTCGAGGCCCAAGACCGCTTAAATTTTCATGTCTTGTATATGCACCAAAAGTGGACGGTTTCCTTACCGTGCGAAGTGACCTTGCTTCTGGTCTCCTTTTATAATCCATAGCGCCATTACATATGTATATTTGCCCTTATATTTCAAGTAAAGTTTTGAGGGTGCTTGCATTAAGGTTACGTGGTATTCGGCGGTGTGTGTGATCATAATAATAAATATGTAAAAGAAGACGCTGGGGAACTGCATCGTTTCGTTTTACAAGATACACAGCTCGGTGGCATTCATTCATGTTGTGGGAATGTCGAGTAGTCTAATAATAGTTTGGAATCAATTTAGAATTCAATATTGACACTAGTTGTTCATAAAAGTAAAATATTATTACGGCCGACACGTCCTTTGCACTCTTATGACAACGACTCGATGGGTGTGTGTGTGGAGGGGAAGGAGGAGAAGTTGCCTCGCCGACATCCTTTAGCTTAGTCATCGCTTTTTTATATTGTGTCGTCAACTGTATTAAGTTGCACTCGACTCGATTTTTCTGTCATTATGAAACTTCACTTCCTTCCTCTTGTGTGTTACAAACATAATAAAAAGGGGTGTCAATGGAGAAAAGAAGTGAACCACGGAAAAATGGGGTGTGCAAGAGCAGTAATACGCTCATTCCTCCCAGAACGGACGACACAGGTGAAGAGAAAGTACCGACGCTTTTAGCAGTCAAAATCAATCAGTACGTACACATTCCTAATGCATGTGCCAACTAGCTTGGAAGAATATGAGCAGAGAAACTAGAAGTTCTGTTTTTCGAGACAAAATTTAATTAACATGAAATATCGTTTGTGATTGGTTGCGTTTGGAACAGACAACGGGAAGAAGTCGTAAGTTCTTTTCTGACCAAGGTGGACTTGCGATATATGTACATGCAAACTTTCACTAATATGCAACTGGTTTGACATCTCGATATATTTACATATCTATCTGCTTATTATCTACTCATCTTCGGTTCTTATCGTTAAGTCGACATTGTCATAATTGAATTTTGAGTGCGATGGTTTTAATTAATTTGAATTTGTAATTATCAATCGTGGTTTTGCATAAACTTGCCATTAACAACTTTTTAACCTCACTATTCCCAAACCCTAAAACCGTACACTAAAAACCAATTTTTTTAATTTTCCAACTTTTAATACCCGATCAAGTAGGAAATAAGTATCACATAAAATACCGCACCAGAACGAAAACTGATTCAATGATTAGTGAGTGTTCTGGCAAATGTCTGGTGACTTTTGAACTTTCTGGTATTACGAGTGTAGGGGCGAGCCATATGTCGGCTGGAGAGTTATAACATGCAAATGGAAGACACTGCATGGTGGACAGTCGTCTCGGTATAATTAAGAACTCTTGGACGAAAATAGAACATTTGTGTAATCCGTGGCAGTTATCGCGCTTTTCTCATTCGCGCTGGCTAGTTTGTCAATAATTCAAGGAGCAGGCCTTCCACTATCAGCACTACAAAGCTGGCAATAATCATTTACAGTGACCATAAAATATCTTTCAAATTCTTTCACCAGATTTGCGGGTGAAAGTGTTCAATTAGACGCAGCCCTGGACAGTGTATTGTGAAAACCTGTCATCAATGTTGTACAAAATGTCAGCGCGTATGGATGTATCACGTGCTGTTGAAAAACCTCGTTAACCTACAAAGGAAAAATGTGAATCTCAAATGGCAAATTTCCTCAAGTGAACCAGCCAAAACTACAACCTCGACATTCACGACATTTGGTTTAACATCCTTCATAACATACATTCGTCAATGAACAAGAATCATGTAATAGTACAAATGCATTGTAATTTCGCATTTAAAGATGACCAAACCTTTTCCACCATACAATTATCGTAATTCTTGCTGGGTTCAGTTTTATCGCAATTCCACCTAAATTTTTAATAGTACAATGGTCAACACAGCGGATGGAGAAAGAAAAGGCGATCAATTAACCTAATTACACACACGTACAGCGTGTGTCTCTGTGTGTACGATCATCGGCTGTATTGTGCTACTCGCATTTCTTTTTGTTTGCCAATCCTGGTGCTCATGTAATTTAATCGATTTATATTAATCAAAACTTTTATGTTATATTTTTGTAATTTCATCAAACTATAAAGTCGTCATGTTAAGAAACTGATTTCGTTTTTAGGACCTCAAACCTATTGATTTATGCAACATAAAGTGAGTAATAAACCTTGTCAGACAGAACTATTATTAGAGAAGGAACTCGGTTCGTATAAATGTAATTTAAATGATTCTGCTGCATTAGTTTTGAACGGTGTAATAAATTATGGACAGGAAATTATCGGCTGCTTCGATTATTAATTTGTCTTAAAGGAAGGCGTCATTAATACTAATTCGGGCCAGGAAGACAGGAATCGGTGACGCAGAAAGGAAGTAGACCAGAGAAAGTTGTATTAATCAGTCATTACAAAGGGGATAAAATCACGCCGAAATCTGATTTACTGTGTAAACGCGACACCCTATTATTACAATTATGTAATGTCGCAATGTTCTTATTTCTGTAGAACATCTACTTGCCCCAGCTGCAAAATAAACGGGTTTGTTTTAGCTATGTAAGAAATATTTCTTTTTCTATATATGCATATATTTATTCGTCCCAATTTTTGCCTGATAAGCAGCCAGTCGTTGTCTTAAATATTTACAGTTCACGGCCGTAAAATGTCATGTGAATTTACAAATCATCAAACGGTTGACGGTATTCATCAATAATTCACTGTACAACTTGATCAAGACGGCGATTGGAGTCAACTTCATATTCCACTTGGATATGCTAAAATGCAATATGATATTGGATTTTTACGCGAAAAACAAAAATACCCACAAGTCAATATGATTATTATGCGTATGTAGTCCAATCCAACAATTGTCACAACCCGTCTAAATCTAAAATATGGCATGCCCAAACCCACTGTGCTATATTAACGTATGCATAAAGGTGGATACGTACGTAAATGGAGGATGCGTGGCTGTCTCAATATTGAAACAAGTAAATTTGGAGAATTAGTTTGCTTACATATTTTTCGCTCTATGTATTGGAAGATAGCCAAGTTTATTACTTATTCAAATCGTTCACTTTTATATACCTCAAAAGCACCCAACCAGCAGCGTAATTATAATGCGTAGATTATTATTGGTTTCCTTTGTTATTACAGAAATTTCGTTGACTTGACTGACTGACTGACGAGAGTTGCTTGCTTCCGAAGGGAATTGGTCAAAATTCTCTCTAAATACATAAATGCACTCATTCCAAGCAGCACAAAAAAATCGTATGAGAACGCAATAAAATATTTTTTATTGCAAAATTATTGAATCGGCTTTAAAAATTGAACATTAAAAAGTTATTGGTAATTTTTGACCATATGAAAAAATTTTAGCGGGATTTTACAATTCAGATAAAAATTGCCATGCTGGACAAAGCTTTTCACTCGGGAGGACAATAAAGTGAGCTAAAAGTCGTTTCACCATGAGAGCCTTCCGACCATTTCCCCTCTTTCGTAACACATAGTGGGAATAATGGAAGTCTGCGAACAAGCGGCGGTCAGTTTTACGTGGCGGCGGTGGTGGTGGTGGTGGGTCGGCAGTTATTGTAGCTTTACTTTTACTTATCTAACACTATAAATAACAGTTCGGCAGCAGAAGTATACGAGAAGAAGTGTGTGGTGGGGTTGGGAGTTGAATCAGAATCACTTTCACCCTGGATTATTCCCGTCCTCTCCTTATTTTGAGCACGGGACTAATATTTTTACCAGTGTCGCCTGGTCGAGAATAGTAATTCCACGGACTCGAGGTGCCCACAAACGGCCACCGTGTTGATAGATACACTTATCGTCTATGAAACAGTAGATATCTCGCCTCTGTTTCAATCCTTCGTAATTTTACACAGGGGAAAAAGGTGTTTTAAACTACAATTAGAATGACCACATTAATGTTAACTAGTTGGCTTATTGGATGAACAAAGTGGAACTGACGATTCGTATGAAAAAATATAAGTCATTGGGTTATTACATTACGCTACAATATCTCTAACACATTTTTATAAAATGCACAATTTCCTGACCCTAGTGTACTTTTTGTTTGTACTCTATAAATACAAATAAAGACCAAGTAAGCCAATTGCACAATTATTGGTTTCTAAAAAAGTAGAGTAAGCTAAAGAAAAAAGTGAAAGTTTGAGAAGAGACATTTGATCGTAATCTACATAAATAGTTGATCATGTCACGAATATATGTAACACAATAATACGGAAAAAGTGGTTCAGAAGGACTAACATGAACTGATAACTGCCTGCACAAATGTAGAAGGGCTCTGTCTTGTCATAATATTTACCATTCTATTACATAGTATATGTCGTCACTTGGTACAGTATTGGTTGAAAATGTTAAGAATGTACTCTACTTATTTACGTACTTAATTAGTTATAAGAATAATAATAGTAAATGTATTGCATGAAATCAGGACTTATCTGGGGCCCACCATCAAACGCTGGTTTTCCGTAAAGATCCAAATCGGTGGGCTAGTCCTTTCAGCAGCTCTCCGAATACAAGTTCGTCTAAATTCTTGCCCACCTGGTAGAGGATAAACCAGTCTCCTATGTTGAGTTCGTTCGCTAACTGTGGGTCAAAAACGAGTGTCACACGTCGTGTTAATAAATTATTTCAAATATTCTCCTCCCTTCACCAGTCTTTACCAAACCGTATAAAACTTACCTTTGTGAACACAAAGGATTCTACTGCACGAGATTTCCTGTCGGGTTTAGACAAATCACCAAACATGTTAAATCGCTGTTATCAAGCTTTCACCCAGAAAGTTTAACATTTTGGGCGTATGATTTTAGTTTAAGTTTACTTTGCTCATTATAAATGCTCTACATATGTACATATTTAGATGAGTGGGACAAAATTAAGCTTTTTTCTATGAAGAAAGCCAGATTTTGGAATTAAGGACTAAATGACAATGTACACATTGGACACTAAAATACATTTGTAATAAACCCTTTAATTTTTACTAAAACTATTTATGTTGAAGTTCGTCGTAGTGTTGTACCGCTGCATATTTGTTTTCAAGTGCACCTCAGGATTAATTAGGATATGAGCAGGGCCTACCTTGTCAGCAGCCAGACTCGAAGAGGAGGACAGGCTATTGTTAGGATACGGAAGATCAGGCCGCTTCCTGTTATGACAGCCAGGATTAAATACCAGAACCTGCACAAAATATAATTAGAATCAGCAAACATTTCCTTAAACTATGCCGGCTTTTCAAAACAAAAGCAAAACTTGTGTCGTGAAATACGGAAATAGTATTGCATTCCTCCAACAACGATACAAATTTAGATTACAATTTAACCACTCTATTTATAAGTTTCAGGCTAAAAATAACAAAATGCATACAAAACGTATGCATAGTAGCGTCAGGTGAGTATTTGTGGTGGTGAAAGTTGGAGAAAGTAAACGAGAAAAGCAAACAGAACGTGATAATATTGACCTTGAATACTCCTGGACGAGTTTATTAATTAAACTGTTTAATCCCCAACAAAAATAATATGCACATTATAAACTCCATGCAGCTCAACACATCACAATGTCTCCACGCTCGTCTCGGTGTTTCACAACAAAATTTGACGAAAGACGCCTCTCTCAGATTGTGAAAGATTGTAATTAATTCCGCTCCCGTGTCCAAGGCGAGCGAGACCATCCATCTCTATTGTTTTCTCGTGTGATTCCCTCATTTCACTTTCAAATCAAAACGATGAATTATTTTACTTGTTTTTTTTAAAGAAATTGTGATCGTGCTGGAGATCTCTCGTGGATTCATTCATAGTTCAAGTTGAGACAACCTTCTCTTTCTGACTCTGCTAGATCTTTCTTTTTATAAAAAATTGACTGAATGCAATTCCGCAAGAAGTCTATCTTTAGCACAGCACAGCGTCTGCTGACATCCCCGTTGGACGTGAAAGTGCTCTGAAAAATACATTTTTGCTGCAATAATGACTTGTATTAAGAGTCTCAAATGAAATCGGGCGAAGGTGGCTGAACTGTCTCTCCCTCCGAGTGGTGAAAGTGGCGAGGGGAAAGGAGTGCCCCAATTTAGCTGCTTATACATAAATGCACTTGGTATCTGGGATAGTATTCAATTTCATATCAGTGTTCTTGATTTGAATCAAATTAGAGGGGAAGCAGTGGACCCAAACTAAATAAATTAGTAATAAGTTTGGCCGGAAAGTGGTAATGTATCCACCCGTTGTAGTGTGTTCATTATTGTGACGTTATCACCATGAAGCACAAAGCATACATATTTATACGGCGGTGCTGTTGGTTGGTTGCGACAAACCAACATTGGTTTTCTCTGCGTGGTTTGTTGGAATGGTTTCGGCATTGTTCATTCTCGCCCCGCTGATCATTAATCCTTAAAGAAACCCACAATCAAGGGAAATGAAACCGAAACAGCGTGTATATGCACAATTCGCAAATCTGAGAACCTCCACGTTGGTTAGACGATGAGACCAAGTTAGCGTAAAATAAACAAACAAAGCAAACTTTCCAATCTATGCATAATGTGATCCCCCACTAACAGCTACAGTCGACAGATCTTCAGATCCAGCCATCTGATCTTCTCAAATAGTAGGATAAAATAAAGAGACACGAAACATCCTGGTGCTGAATATGCAGAAAGTGTGCAAAATATTGAGTGCTTTCACTTTATAGACATCTCAAAGATTTTATGCAGATCGCATGCTTTTAAGGAGTTATTTCCAATTATGTAAATGCCTGGAGCATCTTACACACGATAAACTACAAACATGTCACTGGGGTAATTGTTACTGCGATAATTAGGAAGACTTTATGGTTGTATTAAAACCGTGTGCAGATCACCCCATGACATGTACATACGTACTTTCAATTAAATTAATGGCTAATAATCTTCAAAACTAAATAATGCTACAATGTGACATGTAATGAGTGAGAGAAAGTGAACGAGGTCTTACCATACAACGATAAAAATCTTCTCGTTGAGAATCTGGAAAATGGGATATTTTACATAAATAACTTGAAAAATAATTTTATTTGTACCCAATAATGATCCGTAGTTAAGACTCACGTTAATACTCAGGATGCAAATGGCAGAGTAAGTGTTCTTCGAGCCGGCATGGCCAAAAGTCGTGAACGTACATTGAGCGACTTTAGGAAAAATCCGTGACATTGGATCAGTCCGTTTTTCTGGAGGCTCTTCACTCATCCTTAAATGAGTCATTACTTCGAAGCCATAAGTCGTGAACTGATATCCGAGGAACGCGTCGGTCAAGAGTATTTGAAAAATTACGTTTAGAAAGTTCAACACTTCACAGAAGAAAAACTTGAAGGCATAGGCTTGGTGAGTCCCCACGTTCGAGTACAAGTAGTCGATAATGATCCGCTGCCTCATCCGAACCAGCTCAAAGTCCGTGTGGATGGGAGACGTCAAATTCGCCACCAGCGCTTTCATGCGCCCGTCCTCCCAGCAGTAGCGCCACACCTGCGCCAAGCATGTAACAGCCACTTTCACAACCATCGTCAACCACATTTTACCTGGTTCTACTAAATTTGAGATGAGATTTAACTAAGGAATCGTGGATTTTTTAAAAGTTTTTATCATGTCCTTTGAATAAGAAACCTATTCGGATTTCACTACCAATGATGGAGAAAACAAAACGTAGCAACTTACGTAGCGCGGCAAGAAGAAGGTGCATGCTTGGAAAAAGATGTAGAAGCCGACCTAAGACGAAGAAAACATGACATTAGCTATCTTGCTACATACGAAATATATATTTAAAATTTCAGAAATTTCAAGCTCAATTTATAAAAAGACTCACCCATTGATAGTAACGCTAACGCAGCAATAGGAAAATAAAATTCATATTATTAGCCTCATTTATGCCATAAAGTATCGCTAATACTACGCTACGCTAAATACTTACGCTATAAATACTTACGCTATTATTAAAGTTCTAACACTAATTTTCACTTTAATCACTTCCTCTCACTCACCTGATAGTTTTCTGTGTCACCGGGGAACTTCGGTCGAACTCCAGGAAAGGGCACTTCCAAACCTTGTTCTGAAACAGAAATATTTCCCACTGATAGGAATTAACTTATTGTTATCATGAAATGATATATATTCGTGTTGGAAAATTTTCGAGAAGCATATGTTAAATGTGATATATAGTATGTAAATCCGGTCCAGAGAAATCTAATCAAATTATAAAGACGTCATAACCGTCACAACAAGAACATGCATAATTTCCTTGCTTTCAAGAAATCCTAATTCAAAATGGGTATTAGAAACATGATACACTCTCGCCACTAAATTCTTCACAAACGTGTTGCAGCATAAACATGCAGGACCAAGAACGAGGAGTGAAAGCATTTTTACTTTCTCTGCATGTTTGTTGACTTGGCTGCTTTGCGATGGATTACATTGTCACGCTTGCCTTGACGTTTGACTTTGAACTTGGATTATTCACTGCCAGTTGACAAAAAAACGCACGTTGGCGGAAGTTAATAATAGAAAAAGCAACGACCGCCATCATGACTCAATAATAACTGACATGACAATCCGCTAATCTTATCTCCTTTTAGCATTATTGGTTTCTATGTTTGACCAGCAAGATATGTTTGTTCGTGTGAGAGCGTGAAAGAAGGATGTTGACTTACGATCTCCAGCCTGACCCACAGTGATATAACTACACACAAACAAAAAACAATTGGGTTTTAGGAATTTTTTACCAGCTCCGGTACTCATCATAATTCATGATCGTCTAACCTATGCATCCAACAATAGTTGTCAATTTAAAAAGTGAACTATTTGCCAACTACTCCATTCTATCCTACGCATATCCATCTCTGTATTCACACTATTTTACGGATTAGCAATAGCCAAACAATAGCCATTTTGAATCAGAATTTCTTAGGAACGACGAGCCAGAATTACATAACAGAACCTAGGTCCATAATTTTAACACCCTAAACCAGTAGCAGAGTGAAGCTACGCAGATACACTGTCAATGTGGGGAGGCTGGCGGGCTACGGCCCTGGTAGTTTGTTTACTCCGTCAGCCCTTTTGGAATATTTTTAATTCTTAAAATTAGAAAGAGTGAGTGAAAATAAAGTTTCAAAAGCACTCTAACAAGCCACCCCTACTATAAAAATACAAAAGTAGAGCACGCACAAATCTTGGAAAGTTAAAACCACGAGAAATAAAAACTTCCCATTACTCGTAAATAAGACACAACATTCTTCCACTGTTCTCTCCACCACTATTCCCCCCCCCAATCTAACACCGAGGGTCACCGTGGGATTCCCATCACCTTTGCTGATGGAAGGGCACTTCCAATAGTTGTCCAACGAGGGAAGGAACTGGGAGGAAGGATTTACGTGTCAACTGAATGTGAATGACACTTGAATAAAAGCAAATTGAATTGAATTGAATTGAATGTGGGGTCAGGCTGCTCTCAGGAATAAGTGGTGGCCCTAAAAAGGGCCGTTGTGTTCGAAGCGAAGTTATTAGACTGATGTGTTCATTGAGAGGACGTGGGGTGACGAGAAGAGGTCCGGCATGTCAAGGATGGGTCGTCGTCGAGCTCATCGCTTATATAGCGGCTAGTGGATAGCATTGTTCCTGTTGAACTGTTGATCGTTCCCACAATGTGGGAACGGTTGATTGTTCCCACAATGTGGGAACGGTTGATTGTTCCCACATTGTGGGAACGGTTGATTGTTCCCACAATGTGGGAACAATGCTATCCACTAGCCGCTATATAAGCGATGAGCTCGCCGTGGATCTTCATCACTCTCTCACTGGACGGCAAAGAGAGAAGAAGTCTGTTGCTCGACCAAACTATTATTAATAAACGAAATATATTTTCTTTGAAAGCAACTCAACAACTTTTCGTCCCATTTTCAACATGAAGTGCAAAGTCTACAAGGATGGCATACTGTTATACCAAGATGGAGAAAAGGAGAACAAACGTAAGAAACGTAAAGTCTTTGTATTTTCGTAAAGATAATATAGTACAAAAACTTTTGGAGACTAACATCTACAATTTTTTCAGCTTTTCAAGTATGGTACGTTAGTTTACGTGATCGCAACAAAGTTTTAAACGGGCATATTCTGGTTAACTTTACTTCCGGGGACGTTGAGGAGGAAGCAAGGGCACGGAGAATACAGAGCATGAAAGGGCTAGATGAGAGCACTGGCTGCGATGGTTGTGGAGCAGGGTAAGTATTATAAAATCTTCACGCATTATAAAAACAGTAATTAGAAATAGCAAGTAGATATGTATGTTTTGTATTCCTAGTTTTTTTCTGCAATCCGGCGAGATGGACTATCTGCCCGATGAAGCCCTTGGATTAAAAATTTACGCCTACACAATGGAATCAGCTGAGATGGCAAAGATGGGGCTAAGAGGTATGATTTTGTCATGATAGTGTTTTCCTGTTTAGATAATGTGCGATTTTACTAATAGATTGACTAAAATTTATGTAGGGTTTCTGGATGCTGTTTGTATCCTTTGTCCACCAATCGCATTCAGAATCTTGCTTCCATTTGCTGCACAAATTATTCAGATCTCGAAGACGATTCCGCAAATACGCCCAATTATCCCAACTGTTGATGCATTGGCCAATAAGACTCCCTTTTCGAGATTCGTTGTAGCAGTCGTCGTAACGTACCGGGAGTATCACCGAGGTCCGAATGGAACTGTCTACACGACTGATCCAGCTGCACCGAAATCAACCCCTTGGAACCAAGAGCAAGAAACACTGTCACTCTCCTGTCGAAACGAATGGTTATTCATGCAGGCCAATCCTGAAGATAATGAAAATGAAGGCGGTTTTCGCAATTTAACCTACCCAATATCAAGAGCTGTTTTGCGTGCAAGGATTTGGCTTCATCAAAACTACGAACTTGGAAACAATACCAATAATCAGTACATCTTGAAAGGAGACGTGTACGAGCAATATGAAAGATGGTGTACAGAAGATCCAACAATTGCACGGGCAACATTTGGGAGAATAATTGCGGACGTCTTTCCGGGTATTAATGTTGGACTCGAACCAAGAGGGCATGTAACAACCAACAGTGCACGCCATTGTTATAAGAACCTACGCCGACGCAACCAACATACCCAGTAAATAAGAATGTTATTCATCACACATATTAACACAGTATGAATTATTTCTCTTTTTAATCAGCTATTGTATTCCTACTTTTCAACATACTCAGTTTTTCAGTTGTCTGTCAGAAAGATTTATTTGAATTAATAAACTCCGCAAATGTAATTGTACTACATTACTTAATATGGAAATAAATAAATAACTTTCAGTGCTAATCACCGACAACTGTCTCAGAATGCCTCAATTCCATTATTCACATAGTAGTTGTCATGTTTATAGTTCGACTAAATAAAAGTTGAACTTTAATATTAAGGTAATTGCAAAACACGTCATGTGTCAGAGTAAAATTACACCCGCGACGTTCATATAAAAATGTAAACAACCGTTTTAACACAATCATCTGGTTTGGCTGGGGATAGTGGGGGTGCACCCAACAGATGTGACATATTATTGTTGGAGCTGACGCTTTCAAGGTGATATTTTGTAGGTGATATATACACCAAATTAAAGTCAAGAAGATAGGCTTCACAGATAATCCAGGTACAACCTCCCTAAAATACGATTCAAATGAAACACGAGGAGTTAAGCCTAACGGTATAAATTTTTCTTAAAAACATTACGAGGAAAACTCAGCCAAGTTTATCATCATGGATATCGAAACATACTACACCGATCATCCTGACAGTGATACTAGGTTAAAGTATAACTCATAGGGAGAGAAAAAATATATATTAAAAAATATAAATTCAAAAGGAAGGAAATGTGCCTAATTTTGCTCGCAATCGACTAAAATGGAGATTTTTTTAAATAGGTCATAATTTTGAAGAATTTGAATTTTAAACGTTGGCCAAAGGGCTGTATCATAAACAGGTTGACCTATGTTATCGAAAAAACATAGGATTTGTTCTGGCAGTTTGTTATAATCAGAGAATTGTGACTGACTTTCTTCGAGACAAAAAAGCGAATTTCGACGAGGAAGTGGATAACGCTCCCAATATAACCCTTATTGTCCAATTGAAAGTTTTTGGGCATTACCAAAGAGGGAATACTCCAATTGAAAGAATCCACCGAAAAACTTGGCAGTATTTCGAATGGTCATCTCAAATCTTATTAATAAAATTGCGGAAAAGCGTGGCGAAGCAGCTATGGCGAGCGTGCGGCAAAAGCTCGTTCTACTGGAATAAAATACGTTTCTGGAGCACAAGGGGATAAAAATCCTTAGCTGAGATATAGCGTACATCACATAAAAAATTATAAAATTTGAATAAGGAATGCGTTTTTTACACTCCAAAAACCCAAGGTAGCTATGACAAATCTTGTCCCCCTATAGTTGCTATAGGACTATAGGGGGACAAGATTTGTCATAGCTACCTTGCCAAAAACCCATTTGTCACTCCTTAATTAAACACTAAAATATATGTATAACGCTAAACATTGCCAATCATTAATTAATTTTCTTCCCATTTTCCAACCCAATCATTGCTCATGGAAACATGCAATAACATATTTATGGGATTATCATTTGTTTTGTATAACCACACAAAAAAATAATAAAATAAAAAACTTCCCAAAAAAGGGGGCCCAAAACCACCAATGGAAACTAAGGGAAATTTGATCAAAAATGGTATTTTTTTAGGGAGAAAGTCGATAATATTCTTTATTCTCTCTACATTTGTTGGTTAAATTTATATATAAAACTTCTTTAAACAAAATATTCTTTAACCTCATAAAAACGAATTGCAGCACTGGTGTATAGTTACATAATTCCTTTGAGACCGTCCTACACCACTGTGGTGTAGGTCTTGAAAATTTGACCTCGGATGAGAAAAAAATTTCATCCGCGGAATTTTTAATTTGAGTTCCCAACGATCCCAGTCGATCAAATTGTCCCATGGTGGATTGCAATCCACTAATCTTATGTTTTTTAGCATTATTGGTTTGTGTGTTTGAGCAAGAAGAAATATTGTTTGTGAAAGTGTGCATGTGAAGGGAAATAGATAATGACTTACGGTCTCCAGTGGTACCCGATGTGATGTAGCTGTGCATCCAGCAGTACTGATTTCAATTCAATTCAATTCAATTCAATTCAACTTCAATTCAATATTTCAATTACCGTGTCAATCACTCTCTCCAGCTCCTTAGTCGATGTGCAATCAATGGGGTCACTGAGGATTAGATGAGAAATGACAATTCATTCATATTTAGAATTACATACATATTTATGTTGTGTTAAGAAGGTGCAACTAACTATGGAGGAAAGCTTCACTACTTGTCACGCTCAAATTTCGATAGCCTTTGTAGATGTTGTAGTATCCCATGAATGAATACGAACCCCCAAGTGGTTTGATTCCATGACCACACTTGCACCCGCCACACCCACTCAAAGATGCCCAGAGAACGGAGAAAGTAGTGCTTTCACTTGTCAAAACTTTCGCCAAAACTCTACTTTTATTCGGATTTTGAAAATTCTTTCACAATTATATTCTTATATCTCTTTAGAGTGGGTGTGGGATTTTTGTGCACCCATGATACTAAACCACATACAATGGGCATCAAAATCTGAGAGTGCCAAGTAGTGAAGCTTTCTCCTAAGCGCACGATTTATCAGACGATTTATTGAAATCTCAGACTAATTTAACCACGGTCATAGAGATCACCACTGCAACCCTCCTTTTACTTACTTCCGTATGATCCACCTTAATTTTACACACTCGATAAATAGCGTACATACTTACCCAAAATATTGTCTTGAGTTAACCAGCAAGGAAAACGTTATGAGTAAGATCACGGTTATTTTGTAGTGCAACCGAAATACGATATTGTCGATGCAAATACTCTCAAGCTTAACCAATGCTTTTATGCACCTGTGAAACAAATGAAACCCTTGAGAAGAAAACCACACGCATCACGTGGCGTTTTGTATCAAAGAGAACTTACCCAAAAACGTCGATCATTATTAATCCCACGCACACAGCTGAAAGTCACTCCGGAGCAAAACATTCAACCGTTCTGTTCACACTTAAGATATTTTCATCTCAAGAAACGGTCCAACTCTGATGACGATTTCTCAACAAATGTCTCACGTCATGGCGAAATTCGTTCAACTTTCACTTGTCTTTTCAGCATCCACATTACCAGCCTGCCCAGCTAACTGATGAATCTCGTCCAGGAAATCAGATTCGCTTCCCCTCATCCCCTTCACCTCGGCAGCGAAGGAAGGGGAGCAGGAGGAACTATTGCGTACTTATTGTGCACTGGACAACAACTCTGGACAGAAAAAAGGTGACAAATGTATGCAGTGTCGTTAATTGCATTATCTTCTCCCAGGCGGAAACTATTGTGGACTCCGAATGTGACTCACGCTTTACTACTGATGGACCCCATTGTCCAGGACTTGATGATATTTCTGTAATTAATTAGTAGTTAGGATTGGCTGCTGTTGAAATTGACAGTGATTTTGATAGCTCATTGATACACGTATTGAACACAAAGATTGTGAACGGACTGGGAAAATGAGAAACCGGGCGAAAGTGTCAACAAATCCCCAGAACGTTCCTTCCTTCTTCAAATGAATCAAGTTTTGTGTGAATGAACAGGCCAGGCGATATGGGGAAGAAGGCGAGAAAGTGAACACTACTTGAGTCGAGTCCTTATTATTCACTCGCAACCAAGAGACACGGTTGTGAAAGTGGAGGAAAGTGATATTTCGACGGAAAGTGGGGGTTCAAGTATGTGTGCGAGACTGTAGTGGTACTCGTTGCTCTGATTTTTACTATTATTCCATGCTCACTCGATAATTCCACAAGAAAACCACGGCACACATGACAGCTAGCGTGCATGCAGATTCCCTCCTGCTGAAATTGTCTCACTTTGATCTTATCTTTTTACAAGTCTTCTCATTGTACGATTTATACTTTAAATCAGAGTATGATTTTTTGTAATTATTTATTTATTACTGAATGGAAACCAACTTGAGTCTGGGAAGCCAGAGGCGAGGAGTAAGTCAGTCAGTTAGTTAGGAGAAGACACACTTGCGAGTGAATTAGCTGGGATTGTGAAAGAGGAGACGCAGGGTTGTAGCCGCTTTCTCTCTCCCCCGACCCTTGGTTGATGCGTTGTGATGGGATGAGGAAAGGTGAGTGAGTTGAGTGTGAGGTGAGAGAGAAGATTTAGTGTGTTTGAGCTGCATTCCCTCCACGACCACGACCACCACGAACCATGCAAGAGGAGCACCGTGCCAGACAAACCAGACGCTGAATCAGATACAACTACTCCGACTTTCACCACCGCGATGGATGAGGGGCGAGTGAACAAATTTTGGGGCAAGTGTCCATTCAGAAAGTGAGCATAATGCCAGAACGAACCCACGGATTAAACATTTTTCCACTTAACGCCCTCCCACACATTCGCACGTTATTATTTTGTCGCACCACCACCACATCAAAGACAAATACTGACTGGCCCACAAGTCAGCTCCGTGTGTGCTACACGTACTCGGTTGTCCTCATCATCGTCGCCTTGTTGGTCACTTTGTTTGTACGGTTCATGTTCTCAGAATAGAATAAGATGAACATGAGAAATGTGTATTTCTGTAGCACGGACGGACGGTTAGCATGGTCATCAGCAGGTTCCGATTAATTCCGTCTCTCCGTTATTGTTACCACTCATTGTTTTCACTTTCACTCACTAGCACTTTGACAAAATATTACAATAAAATCCGGAAACAAAAGAGGTTGCTGGTATAAAGAGGTTGGTAACAATACGGGGCAATGGGTTACTAAGTTCGTAACGTGAAGTTGGGAGGCGAGCCTGACACCCGCTCGCTTTCACTCAACTTATTAGCTGTATCGTACACACTTCCACTTTCACCTGGTGGGAGGACACTCATTATTTTTCGTCTGGGAGTGGTGGGGGTTCTCCATAACAATTCCAATTTTGATTTCCTTCGTCACCTTTGTTCCTCTGCTTGTGCTGCAGCACGTAAACGACGTAGGGTGTCTACTCCAACAACGCTGGGTCGTCATATTACTGTCTCCATCATCGCGCCATAGGAAAAAGGAGGAGAAGGAGGAAGTTGACTACTTTTACACGTTGGAGGAGGAAGGAAATACGTAATATGAAATTGTAATCTAAATCAGTCCAGCTCTTGTTTGTTTGTGTTGCTATTATGAGACGGGGAGAGAGAAGGAAAGGGTTGCATTACTCCAACATCAGAGAGACTGCAGCTCCTCAGTACATTAGGCCACAACATGAGAAGGTTCATATTGGGCGAGTAGTGGTGGGAACAAAGTGAAATTCATTAACCTGTCCGAGGGTTGATGTGATTGTGATGGTGGGATAATGTTGTATTGAGAATTGGATGAGATAACCAACCCATGTAAACAGTGGCAGTGGGGAAAACCAGAGTCGGCACACAGACCAACTTTCACTAAAACTGACACCTACTCCACTTCCAAACTACACACGGACCAGCACAAAATCCAAACTCAACAACACTTTAGCACCACGAAACGAGTTGTCTTGTTTGTTGTTGTTGTTATACAAAGTGGTTTGACATATAAAGAGACAAATAAGTACGGTCCAATTTTTTGTCCACTGCTTATTCCCTCCAACAAAGCAGCATGCTCTTCCGATGGATGCAATTACTTAACAAGTGGGGAATTTGATGATGCAAACTCTGAAAATTTCCAGTTGGTCCTTGGGAAAATGTGAATTAGCGGACATGGGATGGAGAAAGTAGGGCCACTTCTGAAAGTAAGATAAGAGGCGAGTGAGTGAGAGGACGGGTGCATGCGGTTGTAAAAAGTTGGTGGCTTCCTTCCATGGAATATATTGGCCAGTTGTGTGTGTGTGCATATGAATACTGGTAATAGGTCTGAATGTAGGTGGGTAGAAGACTGATCGGTCGGTCGGTCGGTCGGTGGGTCTGGTTGAGTGAATGGATAATGGAAATGATATTGAAATATAGGCAGGCAGGCCGGGAGAGGAGGAAGGGCGAGTACTTGCCGTCTGGTGAGGAATTAGCTTTTATTAAATGCTTCTGGCTCTCATAGATTGCTTTTCCATGCTTTCTCTCTCTCTCTTTCTCTATCTTCCTTCCGCCTCGGAGCCATAAATTGAACCATATCGCTGCATCCATTGCAGAGTCATATCCAATCCGCATTAATCCTCACAAGAAGAAAGGTGATGGCTCGGCTACTTGTTTGTACATGTGTACACAGAGGCAGCAGACGAGGAGGGAGTTCTTGGCCATACCTCTGAAGTAGTGGCAGTAGCAGGAGCACAGGTAGGAAGCCAGCATGCTGTCGGTTTGAGAAGGTTCATCCCTCAATCACTTTTTTTTTCTCCGCCAGTCCGTACGTATGTATTTTGTGAATGTCTGTATGTATGTCCAGTGGGTGAAACACAATACAAACATTTTCTGGTATTGGAGTCATAGAATCAACCACTTTGAGTGGACTGGATTGGCTGGTTGGACATGAAACTCGACATGAATTGGGTGCATTTGTCCATCCGCCAGTCTATTATCCGTCCAGTTTGGTCTAGGTTGATGTACACCATCGTTCCATATTTCTCAGGCAAGACGAGCAAGACCAGAAGTGATAAATGGACAAAGGAAGAAGGTTTTTCGCCCTGATGCCATGCGAAACGAATTCATTGCTATATATATTTTTCCTTACATACTAACTAAACCCAAACCACGAAATTCACTTTGGTTGAGGTGGTGGTTGTGGCCGGGGCTATGTGTTATGGAATGAATGCTAGTTGTTGAGCCGAGGCAGGGGAATAACTTTTTTTTGGATTTTGGACGGATTTCCCAAATTTCTCTCCTCACTCTCACTTATGGACGAGAGAGAGAGAGAGTTGTAGAAGAGAGTGAAGAGAGAAAGAGTGCCATAAATAATTTCAAGGATGGTTCACCTCTTTTCCTCCTCAGGCAGCAGCCTAGCAGAGGAGAAAGCATAATGTAAACCACGACTGATACAAGACATTTTCTTATTATTATCTGCCACATGCCAATGTCCAGCCCAACAACGTCGTCCTCGCGGATAGCTCATGTGTGTATGTGTCAGTTTACTTGAGTAATGTCTATAATGTATTATTATTGGGTCTCCGCTGACGATACCGTTGTCAGAAATAAGGGTCAGAAGACAGTATTGTACACAGCAGCAGACGGACCTTTCAAACAAAAACCTGTCCAGCTCTGATAACACAGTAATAACAATAACAACAAGCCGTGTCTTCCCCTCCATCCATGCTTAATCTTATCTTTCACTTACCTAATCTCTATTGAGATGTAAATAAAGCATTTTCTATAAATATTTATACGAGAATCAGGATTACACGAGCGTCAAGGGAGGGGGTGGACAGCGGAGAAAGCCGAGTACACACATTGTTATGGTGGAAAAAAGGAGGAAAAAAAGTGCACAACGACTAATATCAACTCAGTTTTTCTTTTCCATCCCGCGCTGGTATCCTTCCCATGCTATTAGTATGGTAGGGATACGAAGCGGGAATCAAATTTTTGGTGAAGTAATTCTGAGTCAGTAGTACATACAACGAACGAGTGAATGAAATGATGAACTCGGTTAGGCTAATAATGGTCCTAATCTAACTCTTTGAAATTTAATGACAACCACCCACAACTCTGGCAGATAGATAACACGTACTTATCTCGAGCAGCAGACGTACTCGGATTTACCTTCAAAACGCTCACAAACAAGAATGGAAACCTCAATCAAATTATTGAAATTCGTCTCTGTCTTGGGAGCGAAATGACGGAATGGTATTGCCGCCCAAACAAAACATCACACTCGTCTCGTACTTCGAATCGAGACGGCCATCAGCAATAATGGCGAATAGCAATAAGTGGCATGGTGTACATACGTACGAAGGAAATATATAGGACAAAGACGACGTTTCATTTCGCTGCTTCCAACTCCCATCCCAAACGCAATGTGGAAATGCCAGATCATAAACCAGCGTCCCATTGGGGGCACATTGACTTTATGTGGAAACAACGAGGTCGTCCTGAGTTTGGCTTTTTGCTAGAGCGAAGAAGTCATCCCTAAATTGCTCAGAGGCCTAAATCCAACCATATTGTTTATTTATTGAGGTAACCATCGATTATTGTCCTAAATTATGTCAAAGGAGGTAAGAAAGACCGACCCACCTTAAATCAGGTGGAACAAATTCTAAATTAATTGCATTTGTTGGTCTGAGTCCTCAGTCAAAGGAGAATCAAGCAAACTGTCCCCGCCCGATAGCTTCCTTTCCTCGCTGGTCTCATCCCATTAAAATAATAGTGCGTAAGTAAGGCAGCAGGAATGGATGAGAAAGTAGACCAAGCAGGTATGCATCGACTGTGACTACTCAAACAGCACCCACTGCTATTCAAGTAGGCAGTCCACCCACAGGACACTAATCCCGACAATAAGGAAGGCAAGATCAGTGGATATATGCCTACGCAGACGTCGGCAACAACATGGGACAACATTATGTAGAGGGGAAAGTGTTTTCGTGGTTATCGCCCATCTTCAAATTGAGGTGCGGACTTATTAATACCAAATTGTGGCAGGGTTTGTGTGTGCATGTGTGGCATTGTTATTGGTATGAATGTGTGTACGTCGTCAATTCAATTGTTTGGCTGGTGCTGTCGGCTTGCAAGAAAGGAAGATAAGCGTCAATATGGGTAGACAAGCTTGGGTTGGAATAATCAGCATAATCAGATCGACAAAGTGAAAGCCAAACCAGTAGCAAAGTATATTTACTCTATATTTTTGAATTGAAGGACTTATAGCTTAAGAAGACGCTGTGTGGCATTAAAACCAAATATATTACACAGCAATTTATACGCCTCAGTCACGGTGCTTCTTTTGCATTTTGTTTCATAAATATGTACATGCAAGACCATCGACACATCACCATCACCACCAACACCTGCCCTTATTGCTGTCTTCGTCATAAGGAGAAAGCAGCAGCAGCATCATCGTCTCTAACTATGCCTCTTAATACACAAGGCCGAAAGTATAACCTGGCGTCACCAGCAACTCCCTCCCAATAATAATTTCCACCTTTCTTTCTTTCCTTTGCGTGGACGGAGCCTTGTCGGGTTTGCATAAAGCAGGAGAGAAGCGAACTGGGTCATTAGAGCGGAGTGAATTATTCCTTTGAATGAAAGGTCGATTCAATTCTATCGACTCGTTTTCGTTCTCCAAATTCAGTCGATGTTGTTGTGCGATACTTTCTTCTTCTTTTTACTACACACCGCACACACACGGACGTATTTACGTACATATGCACACACACTTATTGGAGGTAAGGCTGGCTGGATTGGTTTTGGTGCCCTTCCTCTCGCGGTACACACCCATCCTAATTTCCATGCCACGCCATGAAAGGAACGTGTTGTGTCTGGGATTAGAGGAGGGTGGACTTCTCTCCGTTTGATGGACAGATACAAATACTCGTGAAATATGAACTGCAGATGCTACGCTATTTATTACTAAAATCCCCACTTTTCATGCCAACTTATTTATTAGAGAAATTCGGATGAAAAATAATTTTCTGCACGGATTTCATTCTCTTCATTCATTCTGGATCGAATAAAAAACGCCAAAAAGTCTGGCGACCTAAAAACGGCATCAATATAAACCCATACATTTTAATGTTAATAC